GGTACATACTCAAACTTGTATAATCATCCAAAACTTATTGAGGAGCCAGCAAAGGTAAAATCATTAGGTTTATTTTCTATATTATATGAAGCTTACAGAAGTCTAAGCAGCAGCATGGCTTGTAGAGTCAAGACAAAGACAGTTAGTTTTCTGTTGGCTATATTTGTCTTTGAGTTGACCTGCAAATGGGGTGTGGAGATAGGAATGTTGTGTTCCGTTTTGCTGCTTCATGATTTATAAAACATTTAGCAGGTGGCTTTTTTTTTTTCTTTTAGATGGGGAAGGGGTAAGAGAGGAAGAATAATTTTTACATTCAAAATTCAAAATTTGCATAACCTGTTTTTCCTGGAGAATTAGTAAGATTATATCACAAATATCAAGAGTATGACCTGCGCACACTTGCAAGACATCAGTTCTTTTGGAGGTGGATCTCTACTGTCCCTTTGAGGACTGAGAACACCCATCACAGTTCTTTTGTCCTCCAAGGAGTTCCCCAGCAAAATTTAAAATACATCTTGATATTTCTAAAGTTTAAAAAAAAAAAAAAAAAAGCCTTGTTCTTTTTTGAGACCTCCTCATAAAGAAGCAAAGAGGATACAACCCTAATTTTTTCCTTACTCTAGTTACCTTTAAGTAAAACTTAAATAAAAGAAGGGATGGAAAGTAATGTTAAAAATAACTTTTTACCTTTAAGGCCAACTTCTGCCACAGATAGGTACTTGTAGTTCTTGCTGAGTTTGATGGGAAATCATGTACATCTGTCTGAGGGCAGAATTTGGCTTGTGTGTTCACTATTGGAAAATTTGCAGCATTATTGGTGGTTCTATGTTATTGCTGATGAGCAAGGGTGATCCATACACCTTATAAGAAAAGCAGAGGGAAGGAGGAGGGTTAAAGACAACTAATTCATTGGCACATTGTCTGTCTGTATTTTAGTCCAAACCAATCAAAATTTCTCAGAAGAGTGGAATCCCACTGGATATCTTGCCTCAGAGAGGTCTTACGGCTAAGCAGACTGAACGCATGCAAATGATTGATCAAAGTGATCTGCCAAGAGTATCCACACAACCACGTTCCAAAAATGAGAGCAGAGAGGATCGAAAAGCTAGAAAACAAGCTATAAAGGAAGAACGAAAGGTAAAATCTAGTCTTGAATATTTTAAGACAACCCCTCAGGAAAATGTGTTCTGTTCCTCATTACTCTGTTTTTTAAAAAACATTTTTTCTTTTAAACCAATTTATTTTGTTTCTGGGAATTACTGGGAAACATCCACTGGTCTTCAAGGGTTGATTTCTGTATCTTTCTGGAAAATACCATCCACTGGAAAGTTTGATTATTTTTTTTTTTCCCCAAAAGTAGGAAAATGTTTTCTTGTCAGTCATTCCGCAAAGATTCTCGATTTTTCAATATCCTTTTTTCTCTACTTAGTTTTCGCTCTTCTATCTGCTCTTAGTTTCTCCCTCTCTGTCTTTAGTCTATTTTTTTTTTTCTTTTTTCCCTCCCTCTCCTGGGGCTGTTACTACAGAAAGTAAATTCACTTCCCACTTTTAATCTTTTCTGGTACTGCCACTACCACCACCCCTGTTTCGGACCTTTAAAAGTTGGATCATGCCAGCTACTGGCAAAGGAAAAACAGAAGAGAGATCTGAAACTGGACTCTTTTGTTATATAAAAGTCTAATTTGCTTCAACCTAGAAAAAGAGGATGTGAAGCAGCGTGTCTTCTAAAACTTAGATATTATTCCTGGGGGAATTCTGCGTCACTGCGCAATGCAGAATTTTGCAGAAATTAATGTGCACACACAATTTCCTTTTCCCCACAGAAATGGGCTGCAGTGCTGATAGCTGCCACCAGGGGCCACTGGACTCAGCAGAGCACAGCTCGCACACAGAAGACACTGCTGGGGGGAGGGAGAGGGAGCTAAAGGGTTCCTGGCAGCTACAGTTCCCAGCATGCCCTGTGGGAAGGAGAGGGCAGCATGCAGGAAACTCTGCAAGCCTGGTACCAGGCTGTTTCTCCCTGTGGATCCCTGCAGAGTGGGAAAAGGGTGTCTGGAGAAGGGGGGGGCCCCCGCAGCTGGGCTCTAGTGGGGAAGGGAGTGTGGGTATCTAGGCCAGGGACGGGGTGTGAGTATCTGGGCTGGGGGGGCCCTGCGACTGGACTCGGGAGGATGGGGCTTGGGTGAATGCAGGGGGGAGGGGGGCGGGCAGAGAAACAGGAACTGGGTTGTCATAGGGGTTTCTTTAACTCTACTCCTGGGGGAAATTTTGTGTGTCTGAATTGTTACAAACATACTTGCTGACAGGTATTTTGAAATAAATTACCAAAATAATTGAAACCTGGCGTGATTATATAGTGTTCTTTTGACAAATAAAATTTGGAGAATTTTTAAGTTTTTGGTGCAGAGTGCCACCAGAAGTAAGATGTGTGGCACCCTACACTACAGGAGCTACAACAGTACTGTTGCAGCACTGCAACTATTCTGCTGTAGTGTAGACCCTTACTTCCCTCAACACAGTGGTGACTGCACTGGGGCGTAGGTTGTCTGAACTGTTGATTTTTTTCATACCTGTGAGCGATGTTGCTAAGTTGACCTAAGTTTTGTGTGTAGAGCAGGCCTTATTTAGCATGTTTCTGAAAGTTATCCAGATATCTCTTTTGGATTGTAAAGGTGTTGGGAGTGAATTATATACTTCTCTGCAAATCTCAAAAATAGGTTTTTAATGTGGAAGTCATTCATGTTTGCAGGAACGCAGAATGGAGAAGAAAGCCAACAAATTAGCCTTCAAGTTGGAAAAAACAAGGCAAGAAAAAGAACTGCTCAATCTGAGACAGAATGTTCAAGGGCTCAAGCTGTCATAGTGGAACTGATGACTTTCATATTGTGGAAAGTTCTTTGCGTTGTTCTTTGTGCTAGGATCTTGAGAAGATGCTGACTCTTTTAACCTTGTCCCGTCATGGATAGAAGTTCATAACATGGTATTTGAATTTTTCTATAACCAGATCAAGTAGTTTACCATCTCTTTTTAAATGTAAACAGCTGAAACAATTTTTGGTTACAAATTAAAATGTACAGTAGTATTACTGTATTTTTCTGTCATGGACATAACATGGCAGCTATTTATAAACAGAGTTGCACTGGGAGTGTTTTATGGTACTTAAGTTACAGAAATACATATTTTCTATGCAGCCAGTTTTGTACATATTGAGAATTTTGCTCTTGTGATTCAAGAGATCTCGGTGCTGTTTCTGAATTAGATTTACCTATCTGAATGTGCATAAAATAATTCTTTCCCTCCCTTTACTATGGTATTTACATGCAGTCTCGGTTGGAAACCACGCTTTGGCGTTAGTACGGTTCTGTATATCAAGAATATGCAGTATTTTCTCCCAAGCCCTGTCTGAAGTATCTGTTGCTGTTTGAATACTATTGTGAAGCGTATTGGAAAATCGTATTTTAAGAGAGATGTTTAGAAAACAGTTGTGAATTTAGACAACGCTTAAATTTAAATAAATTTCCATTTCATTTGGCTGGTGAAATAATTAAAGCTATTTAATGGAAGATTTAGGTTGTGCATTTAAAATCAAAGTTAGCAACATTAACATCATAATTTCCTCATGAAATTAACTTGGCTGTATTGAACAGTCTCGCATACAGTGTTTGAATATTTTATAGCAAACAGTAATAAGTCAAAACTATACACAACCAGAAAAAAAGGAGTAGAGTATGCTACATGTATGTGATGCAACAATAATTCTGTTGCATTTCCTGACTTTCTGGGACCTTAACTCTGAAGCCTTAGAAGTGCACTGTGAGGGAGCTAAACTACAAATACAACCTTTGGTGCTGTATGGGGTCTAAATCATCCATGTCCTAGGCAGGAACTTCTTGGAGATGGGCGGTGGCTCATCCTAATCAGACACCGTAAACACCTTTGTTCTGACTCTCTCTAGCATTGAATCTGCATTGGCTTTGATGTCTGTCATTCTGTTGATGGCAATGGACCTATACACCTCAGAAAGGTGAACAAGCGTTGCCCCTTTATGAGCAGAAAAGTACCTCATCTTTGTAGTTCCATAGGACCACAACATGAACATCCATTTATGCCGTCTTGCCATGGCAAGCTCAATGTAAAAGTCTGTGTATGCTGCTTATGGGTGGGAGATTCTGGTAGAATCATAACCTATTGCTAGGATTTCGGGTCCTATTTTTGGAAGAGTTCTGGACTGGTGCCCAGGATATAAGAGGAGAGAATTTAAGTTTAATCTCATCCCAGTTAGCTGCTAAATCCTGAGCACTTTAGGACTGGTGCCTGTGAGGCTTAAAAAAGAAAAAAAAAAGTAAGTTTTTTTTTCCCATACTTTTTAAGTTTTTGTCAGATTGTTTTATTGCTTTTGGAAGTTTCTTTAAGTTCTTCAACACAAGCTTTCTCTCCTTGATGGGTCTGATGCAATTGTTTTAATTTCTATCTATCCCTAGTATGAACTGACACAGCGGTACGTGTATTTCCCTTGTCCTTACAAACACTAAATGAGGGTGAGCAAATAGCAGAAAGCAGTGTGAATCCTCTGTGTATAGAAACTATTAGAAGTGCTTTGGTTATAACATCTGAAGTGCTTGTGAGATTGAACTATTGAAATTCAAACCTAAAACAGGTTTCCTTTTCTCTCAAATCTCTTCCCACGGTCTATATTAACCAAATCAGTAGAAATTAGCCCACCGAAGTATGATATCTGGGGGAAAAAAATGTGTAGAAGTCCTGTATGACAAAAACACCTTTGTTCATGCTTTCATTTTACTTTTAGCTATACTAGTTTTCATGTATCTCATAGGATAGGGCAGGGATGTATGTGTCATAATTGTTAATTATTTGGTTGCTAATAACTGGCAACTTGGATTATTGCAAACACTTGAATTGTGTAAGTAAAAGTTGACCACCTAGCACCCATGTTTCCTGAAAGTGTTTAAAGAGGGAATTTGAGAAATTTGCATATAGAGATGAATCAGATGCATGGAACAGGTGAGTAACGTGCAAAGCTTAATATTTTGAGTTAAGTATAATTTTGTGAGTTAGTGAACATGAGTTTATTAGAAATATTTCCACATGTTTTAAAAGAGTACTATGATCTGTCTACTGTTGTGTACAGTTCTGAAGTAGACAAACCATAATCCTCTGCAGTTGGATATTCTGTTCAGTTGCTGAAGCAGAGATGGGAAGTAATGAAAAAGGGTATATGTGCTTGTAGCTAGGCTTTGCTGCCAAAACTCTAAACCAGATCAAGCAAGAAAATCTTAATTGATTTTGTCCTACATACCTAAAGAATAATCACAATTTCTTTGGCTATTCGATTTGCCACAGTCAGTGTCATGATATGCCTTGCCATGAGAATGTTGGTAATACCCTATAAGCCAGTCTGGGAATTTTTCTATGCTCTAGTTGCCTACAGGAGGGTGAAACAGGCCTGTTCTTCCCATTGCTGCTTCATTACTGCATTATTTCCTTTCTCTCTTGATTTACCACCTCTATAGAGCAAAAATGAATGAAAGGTAAGGATAACAAGAGCAGGCCAGAGCAGGAACAAAGACACAATGAGGAAGTCAAGAGTGTTTCTAAAAGAGAGAGAACAGTGGGTAGAATAGAGGGTAAAAAGATGTTGGTTGGAAACAATGAAATTGAGGAGAGCTAATGGTATAGAGCAAAAGGTTATAGAATTACTTTGGTCCTCCATTGTTAACAATGTCCCTGCTAATTGTTGTAATCAAGTTACTATATATACCTCGGTATTCTTTTCCTAATGTCTGCTACAATAAAAAAAACTTGCCAAGAGTCTCATACTGCTGAGTGGCAAACCTTGCCTTCACTTCTGTGAGCTCACATGCAGTCCCTTAGACCTGCAAGTCTGTGTGTTTTTGTTTTTCTCCCCCCATAAATAAGGGGGGAGGGGTTGGACCTCTTTACAGGTAAACTTCAGCAATCTACTTTTTTTGCCTAATCCTGTGTTCGGTGCAGAAAGATTGATATGAAATCAGAATTGTGTTGTGTTAAGACATGGTACTATTGTTGGTTTGAAAGAAAACTTTGAGAGAACCATTTTCCCCTTGAAAAATGCCATTCAGTCAAAACTGAGATGCTTAGCAAACTCATGTCAATTTCACTGAAATTTTACTTTGAAGGAAAACAGTGACATTCTGACAGTTTCAAAATGAAACCTTTTGATACTTCACTTTCATACTACAGTACTTTGTTTTGAAAATTGTGTTTTGTATGGTATATTATAAAATTGAAGTGTTTTGATTATCCAGGTTTTTTTCTCAATCTTCTGTAGAGAATTTTGAACTTGAAGGCTTTTCAAAATTACAGTGAAAAACAAAATGGAATTTCCATCCTCCACAGCTCTACTTTCCACTGTCATATTTTAGTTTGAACATATCTTAACTAATTCCCAAGTTTAGATTCATTAGATTCTGACATTGTACATGAATAGTTTTTTGGGGGTTTTAGGCCATATTTTTCATCTTATAGAATCAAGTTTGCAATTTGCTCTAAGAACATGTTTAGGCTACCTAGGATTTTTTCAGGTATTCCCTGAAGTCACAGGAGAAATATTTCATGTCCGTCTCCCTACCACCCCCACCCCCACCCCTTTGCTCTGTTGTTCTTTGGATCCCTGACTTTCCGGTATACAGCTTTAAGCTGGCACTGACCAGCTCTTCTAAGCACCTATTCAAGAGCACTTGAAAATGGTTTTGCTTCCCTCAGAAATTTGAGAAATTAGGGGTAAGTACTAATACACACTGCTCTCTTCTTTCCTTGTACCTCCAGATCTTCTTATGACACAAAAGATCATAAGGACACTATTAGGAATATGGCATGTGAGGTTTTATGTTTAGTTTATACTTGTATACATGGAACTGATCAAACGTTTATGGCTTCCCAAAATGCCTGCGGTTATCTTCCATATTGGGTTTGGTACAGCATAACTTTAAAATAGAGGTGGCTTGTGTCTAAATATATGCAAACTTGTAACTTATTGGGGTTGTGATACAGGCTGTTAGCTGATATGCATTTTTATATATGCTTATTTATTAATGCACCTACTACTTGGCTTAGTCTGGATCACTCCCAGCTATTTGAACAAATACTAAACTTCTGCTAGCCCCTTAATACAGAATTAACTTGCAAATGAACATTACTTACCTGCTCCAAAATATAATCTATCTTGAACATTATTTAATTCATCTGTTAAATATTGTCTGCTAAAGAAAAAAGGCTGTCACGTTTGTAATAACCACAAAATGTGTCTTCCTGCTTTCAAAAATACAGGCAGTCATCTTCAAGTTGACTCAGTCAGTGCATCATTAAGGTTCCTTTTTTTTTTTTTTTGGTGGCTTATAAATTAAAAGGATTGGAATAAAGCAAAACCTCAGTGTGGGCATCCAGCTTCTCCTTTTTCTGTTGAGCTGTAATCTCTGTAGTGACATACTATCTGGAGATGTGATACAATACACTCTCCCATTATGATGTCATAGAATGACCTGGTCCTTTGCTATGCTGCAAGCAGCATGAGGAAGATCAGGTCAACTTTAATCTCGGTATATGGTTTTGCAGTACTCATTTCCTTTGTAGTCTGAATCAAAGGTACCCCTAAATTTGTTTCATGGTGTATATGGCAATTTCAGCTTTTGTTTGTAAAAGTTACTGTTCCAGTCTCATACACTACATTCCAGATATTAAAATACTAGGGAAATCAAAAATTAACACCTTCACAAATGTAAGTTACACCACTCCTTGTTCCAGGTTTATCTAAAGCCTCAATAGCACTTGTTAAAGATGGTTCCTGGGTGACTAGATAATTGCCTAGAGAGCCTTTCAACTCTATGTAGAAGACTTGATTCCTTCATGGTCACTGGAGGTGATTGTTTTTGAGTTAATCATTTGATTTTTGTTTTTTACACATTTGTTTTATGAGAACTCAAAATGGAATTTCTCAATGAAAAGTTTTTCTTAAAAAAATTTGTGTTTCAGAAAACAGTTTAGGTTTTACAGGGTTTTCCCCCTTTTTCTCTCACCGGTGAACTCATTTACCCACTAGAAAAGTCAGGGGGAGGGAAGTAAAACGGTACTTTCTCAATTTAAAAAAAAATGTCACTGCTTTCTGATGTGGGAAGAAAGTGAGTGGGAATTTTCTCGCTGTTTTGAAAAAGAAAGCTTGAAATGTTAAACTTCTTGAAATTTGTTTTGAAAACTAAGAGCATATTCCAATGCCCTTTTTCCCCTTAAAAAATTTAATTTTCAATGGAAAATGCTCAGCAAAAATTTGTTGACCAGTTCTAATGGGTAATAACTAAAATGTGCTACTTACCTCATGGCTGTTCTGGCCTATGGAAAATAAACTGTTGTAGTCAGTTCTTGAGGGGAAACTATCTGTGTCACCACGAGCGAAATTGGCATGCTTGTGTGCAGAGTCAGTAGAGAGACTAAGGATGCAAATTGCCATGGAAGATTAACTGCCTCAAGGTGGCCACTCCACATCAAGGTACTTTGCTGTCTTTGCCCCTACATTTCAGTCTCTAGGGTTGCCAATCAGCTACCTTTCACAATGGGTAAATTTTTTTTTAAAGCTAATGTTAAAATAATTATGTAAGACATAGGTTGAGAAAAGAGTGTACATCTGGGTACAGTGCTTAGATTATCCACAGATACAAAGTTTGTTTTTAAAAGTCACATGCTACATAGAGTACATAATCAGCAATAACCCACATTTAGGTGGATAAATTTAAGAATACAGTTTAGCTATTAGCATCCAAGTATCCAGGTACATAACTCATAAGAAGTTGTACAGAGATTTGGTAATAATGCACAAAGCAAACTATAGAGGAGGTGTATCCACATGTCTGCATTATGCTAGGAAAGCTGTCAGGGGAGTACAAAATAAAATTGACTGTCATCAACCACTCCCTTTGCTTCACAGCCCCATGCTGCATTTCTATAGCTGTGGTAGGGAAAGTCAAAGAAGAATGGCAAGATCCCCCCCCCTCCCCTGTGACTGGTGTGGGGGGTGGCTGTATACCAAAGCCCACTGGCAAAATCTCAATTCGTGTGGATCTTAGACAACTTAATAAAAGCATGGGTAGAGAAAGACATGTGCTTCCTGCACTTAACCAAACACAAAAGTCTTAAAAGTTAGATGCTATCCCAACCTTGAGTAAATCCCCCTTGCTAAAGAATCTATATGTTAACTATTCTCATCACTCCCTTTAGAAAGTACTGTTTGAATCATTTTCCGTTTGGCATATCTTCAGCACCAAAACATTTCCAAAAAAGACTGTCTCGGGTTGCATCAGGTTTGTCTGGTGTCCTTTGCGATGCAGATGATGTGTTGGTATATGGTAGAGATAAAAATGAACACTTTGAGTGACTACATGCAGTTTTGAGATGTTTTCAACAAGCTCACTCTGAATGAGAAATGTGAATTTGGAAAGAAGAAGATAAAATTTATAGGACTCATACTTAGCAAATGGAATTCAGCTAGATTCCAACAAACTAAAGGCATTACTCGCCTTACCTGACCCCAAAGCTGTTTCTACTGTAAGAAGATTCCTGGTCACAACAGATCATTTTGGAAAATTCTTACCAATTTTAGCTCCTCTAACAAAATCCTTAAGAGATTTTCTTAAAGATCAGAATATGTGTTCTGGTGGACTGCACCACAGAATGCATTTAATTGTATAAAAGAACTACTGACATCTCTGCCTGTTCTGACACACTATTCAGTAAACTATCCATCAACAGTAGCAGCAGATGCCTCTTCATATGGGTTGGGGTAGTGCTCACAAAAAAGCAGGCAGGAGACCTGTTGCATTCATATCAAGAAGCTTTAGAGAAACTGATCAGTGGCATACTCAGGTGGAAAAGGAAGCTCTAGCAATCCCTTGGTCCTGCATATCTGGCTTGAATTTTAACTCAGAAACCAATCACAAGCCCTAAGAGGATTATTGGGTTCAAAACCAATGGATGACCTGTAAGTGAGGGAGCCCCTCAATGCCAAGTGGCAGAGGGCACACCATACCATAATTCTCATCAGCCCTGATACACTCCATCCCCCAATTTGCCAGTGTCATAATCTGTATCTTTAAAGTGTCATATGCAAACTGGTAACCTGCTGGTCATTAATAGTATTGTGTGATGTAGGTGCTGTGTAAAAATATTTCTAGCACACAGCTATAATTCTGTTCTTAATGTGTTTGGCAAACAGTGCCTAAGTCCAGGCTTTGTCCTAGACAAAGGAATGTTGTTTTCTTGGCTTGAGTGAGTCTCCAATATAAACCAAGCAAGGTGAGACTGAAAATGACATTTACATGTAAGTCAAATAAACCCATCAGGCAGCAAGTAAGGAAAGCTGACCATTTAACAATTGCAAGGGGTGGATGGAGGCTGCACCCCAGGAAGCCTTCCTGCCTTTTGAAACAGGTTCAATGATATTTAGGAAGGTACAAGCAGAAGCAAAATATATATATTGGTTATCCATTGCTGTGGTGGATACAAGGGGCCAGAGCTCTTGTAATCTGAGAAAGCTGGATCTTTGAACCAAGGGGATTAATATCTCCAGGGTTTGAAACCTTGCTTAGACCAAGATTACAACTTGCTGAAGTTACAGTTTAGTTACTAGAAAGCATGTTTTTGTTTTTTGTTTTTTTACTTGCAACTATAACTGTTTCCTAGTCTTTCTTACTTATCACGTAAATATCTGTTCTTTGTTAATAAACATACTCTTGTTTTGTTACAAAAACATCTCAGTGCTTCGTATTAAACTGAAGAATAAAATCCTCAGCCAAAGTAACAGGCTGGCGTGGCAGTGAACTTCTGTGAGGGTCCAGTGAAAAGATGACTCTGGGGAACTTGGCAATTAGGATTGACTGTGTGTTACTTGCAAGGAAAGGTTTGGGCTGGCAGAGTCCTGAGCAGTTTTCTGGCAAGGTGGCCAAGCTGGTGTATCAGTGGGCTGACTCGTAGTTTAGCTGCAGCAAGGCTCGCTGAGTCAGGGCGGTAACAGTTCTGGGTGACATGAGCAGGGTGTCATATCTTCCACCTATGATTCAGAGATTTTGTCTGTGGGTGATGTAAATTTTTTTTTCCCCCCAACATTGAACACATACCAGGGAAAACACCCAGAAACAAACACTCTGTCTGGAGCCCAAATTGAGCAGCCAGCACCAGAAGATGAAAGGGCTTTAGAGAAACATGTCAAAGGCTTTAATGACCTTGTTCTGGCAGCAATTCTAGCATCTGCCAGCTAACGTTAGAAAATTAGAGATGAACAATTAAAGGATGAAACTTGCCAGAAACTGACTCAACTCTGCCAAAGAAGGTGAGGTCAAAGGAGTCACCTTTCAGCAGACCCATATTGAGGGGACCAAAATGACCTTCACACAGTGGAAGGACAGTGCATTCTTATCCCTGTGGTACTTCAGAAAGAGATGCGCGCCAAAATTCATGAAGGACTTCAAAGTATAAACAAGCACAGAGCACAAGCACAACAATCCATATGGTGGCCTGGTCTGAGTAGGCCAATTCAGACTTTAGTAGAGGGCTGCAAGATATGTAAAAGGAAAAAAAATCACCAGAACCATTACTCTCTGCAGAGCTACCTGACAGACTTTGGCAGTGGTTAGCCACAGATTTGTTTTTTCTGGAAAGGGCACACATACATGTATTGTAGTTGATTACTTTTCCAGATATATTGGCAGACTTCATCAGCACAGGTCATCCAGAAACCAAAGTTGAAAGATATGGAGCTCCAGAAGTCCTCATATCTCATAATGAGCCTTGGTTTACCTCTGAAACCTTCCTAGCATTTTCACAAGACCTTGATTTTGAAGATTGTACTCACAGTCCACATTACCGCAGAGTAATGGGGAAGTGCAGAGAACAGTGTGGACTCCAAAAAAGACTTCTGCAAAAATCACTGGACCCATAAAAAGCATTCCTTGGCATATCAGTCAACACTGTTTGTGTCTGAACTATCTCCAGCAGAACTTCTGATGGGAAGATGATTCAGGATGCCTTTATCTGATTCAGCTTAAACCTAAGTGCTGCAACCTGAAGGAATTTAAAAAACAGTATGCCAAAATAAAAATTCAGCAACAACAAAACTTGAATATTCAGCACAGAACAAAAGCACTACCTGAACTGAGACCAGGGAACAAAGTTTGGCTTAAAAGCTCCGAGATGTTTGGAATTTGGCAGAAATTCCCACATTCTTCCTAGTGGGAACTCTGCAAGTACTTCTCTGGAGGGATCAGGTACATCTGTAGTGTTTCCTGACAATACAGAGAGGATCTGGAACCTGCAAGTACTTTGTCGGGAGGTGATCCTCCTCCACAGGGAACTCCCTGCACAAACTCAATATGGAAATGAGAACATGGCCTGGAAGACTGATCCAGACTTCAAAGTCTTGAACTTTAGAATACTGCTCAGGACTATTTAAATGCAATTGATAAAGGGTCATAGTTGTGCAAATAGTTTTAAGGAATTAGAAATTCATTTTGAATTGTGGGGTGGGTGTGTGTGTGTGTGTGTGTGTGTGTACATTCTTAGTCTTAATCTTTCTTTATAAAGAAAGGAAGATGTGGAGGGTTTATAGCATACCTGGTTCTCCAGAGAGGACCAGGATATGTTGCAGCTGGGAGTTTAATAGAGGTAGGAATTTTCTGGTTGAGGAGTTCTCCAGTTGGTGCTTAAACATGGCTCTTGTGTTCGTCCTCACACTACACCATCTCCCAAGAATCACAACATGACCTGTCCATCACTCCTTTCTCAGGCAGGGAACAGTGGAGAGTTAAAACAGAGCTGACAAGTGGGCAGCGGAGAGAGGGGCTTATGAGATTCTCCTTCCATTGGGCAGTGGGGAAGGAGCAGGACTGGGAAGGAAGTCAACAGCTCGGAGGGTGAGATATCAGACCTGCCAAAAATACTGGTCTTCAATAGCAGAGAGTAGGACGTTAGAACAAGTATATAGTAGAAGATCAGTTGGCTTAAAGTTACAATTTTATCCATCTAGGCATTTATCATCCTAGGATCTAAATGTGCCACTTGGTAAGTCTTCAGTTGAATGGTAACCCCTAATATTTCTTATATTAAAGTTTCTGAAAGTAACTGTCATATGGAAATGAGGAGCCAGCTTCACCCAGTTAGTAAGACAAACAGAGGCAAGGGAGACCTGTGGGGTATGAAATTTACCCCACCACCGAGGTGAAGAGATCACAAAGGGGGAAGAAAAATAAAACCCATGGGTGACTGTATAAAGGGTGCTTTCTCACAACAAAACAATCAGTTCCAGAAATCATAGGGCCTGCTCTTACCATTGTTTTGTGTTGTTTTGTTTTTTGGGGGTGTGGGGGGGGGACCTTTAAGAAATCCTGTGTAACTAATAGTTTGATACGTTGAATTTTATACAGCTGCTGGAAGTCAAGAATTGCTAGCTTGTGAAACCTGTGGAAGACATTTTGCACAAGATGTTCTGGTAAAACAAAGGCTTCCCCCCCCCCCCACCAGCCCCCGGTGCATAAAACTGAAAGTAGAGGAATTGTGAGGGTTTGGGTGGGGGGAGAAGGGGCAGTAAATGCCAGTAGGTTAAACACAGCTGTTGAAAGAAACTTTCACTCTGTGAAAAAGGAGACAAACTGATCTGATCAGTGTTCAGAGAACTGACCTGTCCTGTGGTGTAAATAAGTTATTTGTGCTCTCTCATCTAGCAATATTCCAGAGTGTGGCAGAAATAATTATAATGCCTTAGATGGAAGCAGCATTAGCAGAACACAAGGGTTTTGCCGTAAGATTTTGTTTTTTCTTTGCATCCCAGTTAAGGCACCAGCCAATATGCAAGAAAGTCTTCACCAAAAAGCGGAAGCCTTTCAATTCTTTGAAACAGAGACTGCAGGGAACTGAAATTCCCTCAGTGAAGAAACAGCCACCACCAAAGGTATTGTTTAAATTGTAGCAGGCATGTTGACTTCATGCTAATATTGTTGGTCAACGAATGTTGTCATTCACTCCAGCGATGAGTGGGTGTCCTGAATGAGCCTAGGGTTCTTCGCTGTGCGTGGCATTCTCTCTTGGGAAATGATGTCTCCTCAACTGTGGGTCTGGCTCTGTTCATGCCTTCCCTGTCCCCAGCCCTAGCCTTTGTGCTTTATCAAGTGCTAATAAGTGGCTTGTTGCCTCCAGTAACTTAAGGCGTCTTCTCAGTGCAAGAGCCATGCTGGTGCACAGTGAAACCGGTAGGAACACATGGAGGCCTCAGTTCTTATAGGAGTTTTCCTTAAAAATGAAACATATGAATAACATACAAGCTTCTTACAGCTTCCTCTCTAGTTAGGCCAGTGAGAGGAAGTGATGGCAGGACACTGATCTGGTGCAGGAATGCTCAAGGTTCAGCTGGAGCCTTCTGTGGCCTGTAAAGTCCCAAGGACAAAGCTGCAGAGTTTCATTGCTATTAAATTCAAACAGTAAGCAATTTTTATTCCTTTATTCAAGGAAGACCATTATCTGTATTGCTGTGGTAGCTGTATTGTGTGTTGTTTGCTGCTGCTGATCTAGGAACAGCAGCAGGCTATGGAGAAATCAGTTTCACACTTTGATTGGGGGAAAGAGGCAAAAAATATAAGAGGAGATCAAAAGCGGGGGGGGGGGGAGAGAAGGGATTGTCATGGTAACTTTCATATTTCATCCAGTATAAACTATAGTCGTCTGTGACCTAAATGTCTTGATATGAGAGGCTATTCTTTATTGGTCCCTTGGAGCACTGGTTAATTTGTGAGGGTTGGGTGGGGAAATAGTAAGACTCAGGAAAGTGGATTTGACCTAAGATTTGTTTTTAATATTTCTTTTTCCTTTTGAAATCTATTTAGAAAAGAACCCTCAGTCAAAGTCTTTATATAGCCTCATAGATGGGTATATAGAGTTTGTTGCCATACGTTTCCTTTACAGAAACAACCAGAAAAGAAATCTAACTGGAGACAGCTGCATGAGGACTTTATTAATGCTATTCAATCAGCCAAGCAAGTCACGAAAGCCATGAAAGAAGGCCGACCCCTTCCTCCTCCTCCACCTCCAAGCATCAATCCAGGTTTGTGATTTAGTTTCACTTACTGCTGCTCTTGTGTTTGCTTCTCCTTGATAAAACAATAAGTTCCTATTATTCACAGATGGGCTTCAGCTTTACTCCATTCTCTGCAATCCAAGGTGAACATTAACTCCCTCATTCCTGATTGTTTTTAAAATGTAGTGGTGGAGTAGAGCATGAATTAGGGGCAACCCTGGGAGCAGCTAAAGAGGGTTTCTGCATTCAGTGAGTAGTAGCATCAGGGAAAAGTGGAGCAACATAGATGAATTGCAGAGGAAGCAAAATAATTGGACCTTTCAACCTTAATGGTAGCAACTTATCAGTCTAGTATAGGGTGACCAGATGTCACAATTTTATAGGGACAATCCTGATTTTTGGGTCTTTTTCTTATATAGGCTCCTATTACCCCCCCCCCCCCCCCATCCTGATTTTTCACATTTGCTGTCTGGTCACCCTAGTCTAGTAGCAGAGCTCTGGGGTGGGAGTTGGGATGCTTGGGTTCTAGTCCTGACTCTGCCATTGACTAACAAAGGGTGAATTTCAGCGCTTACTACTTGGAATAAACTGTAAGTCAGGCATAGGCCCCATGCTGGCCCTCTGCATTGGGATGAATTTCACCTTTTGGATTTTCAGAGGTCAGTGAGGGAGGTGTGGGTGCTCAGCACCTTTTGAAAATTGAGCCTCTTGCTTCTCATAGACTTTAAAGCCAGAAGGAACCATCATGATCATCTAGTTTGACCTCCTGCACATCACAGGCCACAGAATTTCACCCACTCCTGCAACAGTCCCATAACCCCTGGCTGAGTCATCAAAGTCCTCAAATCATTAAAGACTTCAAGTTTCAGAGAATCTACCATTTACTCTAGTTCAAACCAGTAAGTGATCCGTGACACATGCTGCAGAGGAAGGCAAAAACCCACCATGGTCTTTTACAATCTGTCCTGGGGTGGGGGGGATTCCTTCCTGACCCCAAATGTGGTGATCAGTTAGACCCTGAGCATGTGGGTGAGACCCACCAGCCAGACCAGTAAAAGAATTATTTTAGTAACTTTGAGACCTCCCCATCTATTGTCCTATATCTGGTTGTTGGAGATATCTGCTAATACCAGATGCAGATGGGCCATATGTCATTTTAGGCAATCTCATCATGCCATCCCCTCCATAAACGTATCAGCTCAATCATGAAACAAGTTAGGTAATTTTCCCCTACTATTCCCCTTGGAAGGCTGTTCCAGAACTTCACTCCTCTGATTGTTAGAAACTTTCATCTAATTTAAAGCCTAAACTTGTTGATGGCCAGTTTATATCCATTTGTTCTTGTGCCAACATTGGGCCTTAACTTAAATAACTCCTCTCCCTCCCTGGTGTTTACCCCTCTGATGTACTTATAGAGAGCAATCATATCTCCCCTAAACCTTCATTTTGTTAGCTAAATAAGTCAACTCCTTTAGTCTCCTCTTGTAAAGTAGGTTCTCCTTTCCTCTGATCATCCTAATAGCCTTTCTCTACACCTGTTCCAGTTTGAATTCATCTTTTGTAAACATGAGAGACCAGAATTGCACACACTATTCCACATGAGGTCTTACCAGTGCCTTGTACAATAGTAACACTTCCCTGTCTCTACTGGAAATACCTCGCCTAATGCATCCTAGGATTGCATTAGTTTTTTTTCATGGCCACATGACATTGGCAGCTCTTAGTGATCTGTGATGGACCAAAACACTCAGGTCTTTCTCTTCCTCTGTCACTTCCAACTGGTAAATCCCCAGCTTGTAGCAAAAACTCTTGTTGTTAGTCCCTAACTACATGACCTTACACTTTGCACTATTAAATTTCATCCCATTTTTATTACTCCAGCTTTCAAGATCATCCAGATCTTCTTGTGTGACATTCCAGTCCTCCTCTGTATTGGCAATATCTCCCAACGTGTGTCATCCATAAATTTAATTAGCACGTTCCCACATTTTGTATCAAGGTCATTAATGGTCGAAAGACTGGTCCTTGAGGAACTCCATTAGTAACTTCCCTCCATCCTGATAGTTCACCTTTCAGTATGACTTACTGTCGTCTCCCCTTTAACCAGTTCCTTACCCACCTTTCTGTTCTTATGTTAATTCCCATCTTCTCCAACTGAATAATTTCCCATGTGGAACTATATAAAATGCTTTACTGAAATCCAGATAGATTAAATCTACTGCATTTCCTTTGTCTAGAAAATTGAAGATATTTTCAAAGAAAGAGATCTGGTTGGTCTACATTTTGTAAAGCCATGTCTTTTATTACACTGTCTTTCAAAATTTGTTCTAAGACCTGGCATACAACTGAGAACAAACTAATAGTCCTCTTAACTTCCCAAATCATTTTTTCCCATTTCTTAAATATATGTTCTATATTTGCAGTTCTCCAGTCTTAGGTTATGACCCCTGAGTTTATGGATTCATTAAAAATCCTTTCTATTGCGCTTTCAATTTCATGTGCCTGTTCATTTAATGTTCTTGTATGGAGATTATCTGGGCCCCCAATTTGGTCTCATTAAGCTGTTTCAGTTTTGCTTTCACCTTGGATGTGATTTCTACTTCTGTATCCTTGTTCCCATTAGTCACCTCGTCATTGTCCCCAAGCTCCTCATTACTGTTGTTTTAATACTGAGGTAAAGTATTTGTTTAGGTGTTGGGCCCTACCTAGAATTATCTTTAATCTCCACCCCATCCTCGGTGCTTAGCAGTCCGACTTCTTCTTTCCTTGTTTTCTTTAGCCATATAACTAAAAAGAAGCTTTTACTATTGGTTTTAATTTCCTTTGTAAGGTTTTTCATATTTCTCACTTTATCCTCACATTTTCTGACCTCCAAGAGATAGCTTTCCTTGCTGTTTCCCTCCCTTTTTCCATTCCTTGTAGGCTTTCTGCTTTCTTTTAATAGCCAGTTTGAGATGCTTGTTGAGCCAGTTTGGTCTTGTAACCCTTCTGAATGAGATTTCCCCCTTGCCCTGCCCCCCCGCTTGGAATGCAGGCTTCAGATTATTTCTGCAACTTTGACTTAAAATGATTCCAAGGCTCGTTTACATTCAGATCCCGGAGTTCTTCAGTCCAGGCAACTTCCCTAACTAATTCCCTTCATTTTGTAAAGTTTTCCTTTTTGAAATCAATGACCCTAGTTGCAGACCTACTTCTGTTTAGCCTTCCATTTAGTTTAAACTGAATTAACTCATGTACCTCTGTACCAGATGACTGGAGGATAGCAAATGTAATGCTGATTTTTACAAAAGGCTCCAGAGGCAATCCTGGCACTTACAGGCTGGCAAACCTAACTTCAGTACCAAGCAAATTGGTTGAAACTATAGTGTATATAGTACAGTAATCCTTTTGGTTAATCACATTGCCATTTTTTTTGTTAAATGTCTGTTTTTTCTAGAGTTTTATTCCATTTTATTTTTTTAAAAGCCAAGCATAATATAGTCCTCCACATTTATACGAAGTAATGCTACTCTCTGATCCATGCTACATATCTTCAATGTGGCACTCTTGCCCACTCTGCATTCATTCCACATGTGGAACTCCAGTTGTGCTCAGTGAATGCAAAATAGAGATTTGTAGTGCAATATCAGAGGGGAGAGAAACTCCCATCAGTGGGCTTTGGACCAAGCCCTGTATGTCAACAACAAGAATCTCAACACTTTGCAATTGATCATGGCACCCAGCCTTCATCTCTACAACAAACAGATCAAATTAACATAGTTGCCCCGGTGTGCGGAATTTTGCCAAGGGCAGTTCTTAGCATCGATGGGGAAATTGAGTTACAGTGAGGGGAAGTGACTTGACCAAGATCACCCAACAGGACAGGCAAAGCTGGGAATTGAACCCAGGTCTCCCGAGTCCTAGTCTCCCAGAGAGTAGTCAATTCTCTCTCAATATCTTATGAGCTGTTGATTCAATCATACCCATTCCTTTGTTGTAATCAGACTATATTCAGTGTCCTTACTGCTTGAGAAGGTTTAACGAAGCTGCAGCAGAGCGGCACATCAGTTTTTGCAAAGAACAAGCTACACGACGCGTCTTTGCACCAGGCCAGAAAGCAGGCAAACAGGCCCCGGTAAGTAACACACTCGCCTTGTGTTTTCTTGCAGACAGGCTCACCAGACAGAATGGGTTGTGATGTAGGGAGGGAAGCTCCACATTCATATGTAGCTTTAAACCACAGAGAAGCTAATGATATTTTTGAATTTTTAATTAAATGCAATGTGAGTTGCTTCAAAAAAGAGCTCCTTTCTCTACAGGAAGTTATAGAAAAGTATGGTAGCAAACGCTGAGGAGAAAATAGCTTCTTCAGACTCTTTTCTAATCCGATTCCAGGAAAGCAACTGTAGAGTAATGAAAACGAATACAGCTTCCATGCTGGATACAGAGTACTACTGTACTATGCTAAGGGATATATCAAAGGCCGAATTCCTTTGGTAGCCTCCGAAGTGGGGTTAATCCTCTGTGTCTTGAGCTGTGCTGCTGTGTTTATTAAATGTTTATACAACTTCTACTGAAAGATTTTGTTAAAAGATTTTATTAAAACATAAATTGTTCATTAATTAAAAAAAGAGTAAATAAGTGACAGACGGAGTTAGTAACTAGTAATCAGCAAAGTAAAAATCTTGTTATGCCCACCAGTTCGTTTTCTTTTAAGTATTTCAATTTTGGAGGAGGGTCAGCTTTCTGATGGAAGGAAAGGTAAATCCTACAATGGAGGGGGAAAACTCAAGGATAAAATTCTTTATCTACCACCAAAAGGCTTAAAAAACTCCATAGTTAAGATGGTGGGTGTCTAATAAAGGGAGTTCCTGGAGAACCGGGTGTCTCAAAGGGATGGTGCTGTTGAGGGGGAGATGCCTACGTGTGTCACTGAAGGGCTGCTTCTCTGAGTGTCTTGGCTGTTTTAGACTGGATGGGAGAACAATGCTTTGGGGAAGGAGCAAGCTACTGGTGGCCTTTCACTCTGGTCTGGCCTGCTGCTGCTGTCACTGAGGGGATTAAGAAAATGGACTCCTCTCAATACCTCCATGAAATCTCTGCTTGAGTTGAGTCCTGGTCAGTTCTGTCATGAAACTATGCTGACTGCTTGTGTTATCCTCACCAGGGCAAGCAACAAATGACTCAAAGGAGAGAACCAACCTTAACAAGTGCTGTGGAATCACTGCTTCAGAACAGAGTCCAAGAAGCTGCCATTGCAGGTAAGGAGTTGCAGTCGGTTGAGCGAGTGAACATTCAGAAATACTTGCACAAGGTCATTACTACTCTGCAACTGGGTGCCAGTTACTGCTACCGCTCAAATGTGGCGGAGTAGCATCACCCTGTCCGCACGACCACTTTTAGCCAGTTTTGTACCCAGTTAGTGAGCTGGTTGGCTCTGACAGCGGTTTGTGTCGTCCAGCAACATGGGTAACATTATTTTAGTAACCCTGGCAGCTAACGGTGTTACCTCCTGCCAGCAGCATAGACTAGTTACAGTAGATGGCTGTCTTCCTATAACCAGTCATCACTCACTGTCTGTGCAGTCTGGGCCCAATCCTGCGAGGTGCTGAGCAGCTCATGGGGCATCAAGCACTTTCAGCTCTCATTGAATTCAATGGGCCTTGAGGGTGTTCAGCAACTCGTAGGATCAGACCCTCTCTATGAAAACACCTGCCAGAACGCATTGGCCCCTGTGCTCTTTGGTGCCATTCTGTGTAGAAATCATTCCGGCACTGTGACACCTGCTGAGGCGCTATGGAGTAGCTGCTGAGACTTTTCCTGGAATGCACTACAACAGCCAGTTAGGCAGCACAGGCGGTGTGGCTGCCTGCACAAATGTAGTTTTGTTGTTTTCGTGGCTTTTTTTTTTTTTAAAGCAACACTTCTGCTGCGTGGACAGAATGTAACCATGTTTGTAATTGGATCACGGGAGTGTGTCACAGACTGGCAAAGAAAATATGGCTGTGTTTGTCGACTAGGATGGGGTGGTGTTATACATGTAGAACTTGGTAAATGAACAATAAATTTAGATCTTAGCTCCTCCTGCTCATGACAGAATTAAGCTATTTCCCTCCTCTTCTCCCCCACCCCCCGCATTGAAAAGGACAAACCCACAGAACTAATGATACTTAGCACTTCACATCTTCAGAGTGCTGCACAAAAACTAATGGAATCCTTACAATAATCCTGGGAGGCGCAGGGTGAGAAAACAGAGGCAGAGCAGTTAAGTGTCTTGATCCAAGGCCAGTGACTGAATCAGTGGCAGAAGCAGAATTAGAACTCAGGAGGTCCTGACTAGAGCTGATCACAAAAGGGGATTTTCATGCTGTTAGAAACTAGTCTTTCTACATTCATTTTCATCCCAAATCAGCACAAAGTTAAAATGTCAAAATATTTCACAGAATGAAAAACTTCAACTTGGAAATGTCCAAATGCTTTGTTTTGAGTTGTCATTAATCTCTGCATTTGGCTGAGCCACTGCAGTGTCTCATGGTAGTTGTTGTTCTGGGTCGCCTCTGCATCCTGGGCAGATTACATCTTCCTTGATGTATCACAGTGTTTCCTTATGGTTGAGATGCTGCAGTGCTTCATGGGACTTCTGTGGCTGAACCAGTGTGGTTCTTTATGGGACCCAGAAGTACAACTTTCATAAGGCACTGCAGTAGTTAAGGCAGACGCAGAGATTAATGTCAACCCAAAGTAAAAACATTTCATTTTTTTCAATGGAAAATTCTGACAAAATCTTTTCCTAAAGAAAATCTTCAATTTTGACAAAACCCCATTTTCCAGTTGCAAAATTTCCATTGAAAATCTTCAACCAGCCCTAGTTCTCAACTCACTTCTCTAGAACACTTTTTAGAAAAGAAATGGGGGAAGGAGGGAGAGCTTTTAAAGCTTCCGTGTAGGAAGCATTGGGGCGTTTTTAAAAATTACTTGTCTGTATCCTTTTGTACTTTAGGTTTTTTCTAGTCTTTGGGTTTTCAAAAATTACTAGAAATGCATTAAAAGTTAGCTAGGCATATTTTAAATGTAAACATTCCCCTGCATGCCTTGAAACCCCAGTACTTGCAGCTTGATACAAATAAATGCATGACCACCAGAAAGTGAAACTGAGGAGAGTTTTTCAGTAGTAGTCCCTGGGGAAGAGAATTAGTTTTTAGCATTTGAACTCTACTATTGAGAAGTAAGGTTAATGGCAGTGAAGGATTTTGCTGAATGAAGAATTCAGTAATGCTGCAACATCTTCTTTATGCGCTCAAAGAACCAGGTTGTGACTAGAAGCAATAGAAGAAGAGTAATGAGAAGGGTATTGCACCATTATTATTCCTCTGTATGCTATAATAGTTACTTTGTAGATGGCAGCAATTTGAAATCTGTTGGATCAAGCTTGATGTAGGTTTAATATTAATGTGAAATAAAAATACAGCTTAGTAAACTGAATCTTTCTTATCCATTATAGTGGACCTTGTGGAAGGAATGGGGCAGAAATGAGATTAATTTCCCTTGCCACTTGGTGTCACTATAATTCCAATATATCTGCTGTCCTTATTTTCATTTCTTACATATATTGCGATTGCACAGTATTGGGCTGGAAACGCTGGAATCTTTTCCTTGTAATTCTGTCTGAGATCTTTATAATGAGTGTTTAAAGATGAGTATTTACTCAAATTATAAGAGGGGGGCCCATTATCCTTGTGCCTTTTGAGATCCTTGAATGAAAGGTGCTATGAATGCCAAGTATTATTGATATGACACTGCTGTCAGCTGGCATGTAATTTGTGTGACAAGGTTTCTTTTGACCCACAAGGGGAACCCCAATTTTTAGTCTTACTGCAGTCAGTAGACCTTATGACTTGTTCATTCTTCTCTTACTCTGATTTATTTTTATTTTATTTTTGACATCCCTTTATCTAAAGCATATAGGTGCATGAGACAACAAATTAGTAATGATAACATGGAGGCTATGGCAGTCTTCCCATGCAAAACAAGAAAACCCTTAAACACACCAAAAAGAAAAGGAGTACTTGTGGCACCTTAGAGACTAACCAATTTATTTGAGCATGAGCTTTCGTGAGCCACAGCTCACTTCATCAGATGTGTACCGTGGAAACTGCAGCAGACTTTATATACACACAGAGAATATGAAACAATACCTCCTCCCACCCCACTGTCCTGCTGGTAATAGCTTATCTAAAGTGATCAACAGGTGGGCCATTTCCAGCACAAATCCAGGTTTTCTCACCCTCCACCCCCCCACACAAATTCACTCTCCTGCTGGTGCTAGCCCATCCAAAGTGACCACTCTTTACATAATCAAGTCGGGCTATTTCCTGCATAGATCCAGGTTTTCTCACTTCCCCCCCACCCCCATACACACACAAACTCACTCTCCTGCTGGTAATAGCTCATCTAAACTGACCACTCTCCAAGTTTAAATCCAAGTTAAACCAGAATATCTGGGGGGGGGTAGGAAAAAACAAGAGGAAACAGGCTACCTTGCATAATGACTTAGCCACTCCCAGTCTCTATTTAAGCCTAAATTAATAGTATCCAATTTGCAAATGAATTCCAATTCAGCAGTTTCTCGCTGGAGTCTGGATTTGAAGTTTTTTTGTTTTAAGATAGCGACCTTCATGTCTGTGATTGCGTGACCAGAGAGATTGAAGTGTTCTCCGACTGGTTTATGAATGTTATAATTCTTGACATCTGATTTGTGTCCATTTATTCTTTTACGTAGAGACTGTCCAGTTTGACCAATGTACATGGCAGAGGGGCATTGCTGGCACATGATGGCATATATCACATTGGTGGATGTGCAGGTGAACGAGCCTCTGATAGTGTGGCTGATGTTACTTTGTCCTTACCCATAACTATTTCACATTTGGGGACAATGTATACCTTCAGATCAGCGGCACTGCTATGGGTACCCGCATGGCCCCACAGTATGCCAACATTTTTATGGCTGATTTAGAACAACGCTTCCTCAGCTCTCGTCCCCTAAAGCCCCTACTCTACTTGCGCTATATTGATGACATCTTCATCATCTGGACCCATGGAAAAGAAGCCCTTGAGGAATTCCACCATGATTTCAACAATTTCCATCCCACCACCAACCTCAGCCTGGTCCAGTCCACACAAGAGATCCACTTCCTGGACACTACAGTGCTAATAAACAATGGCCACATAAACACCACCCTATACCGGAAACATACTGACCGCTATTCCTACCTGCATGCCTCCAGCTTTCACCCTGACCACACCACACGATCCATCGTCTACAGCCAAGCTCTGCGATACAACCGCATTTGCTCCAACCCCTCAGACAGAGACAAACACCTACAAGATCTCTGTCAAGCTTTCTTACAACTACAATACCCACCTGCAGAAGTAAAGAAACAGATTGATAGAGCCAGAAGAGTTCCCAGAAGTTACCTACTACAGGACAGGCCTAACAAAGAAAATAACAGAACGCCACTAGCCGTCACCTTCAGCCCCCAACTAAAACCCCTCCAACGCATTATTAAGGATCTACAACCTATCCTAAAGGATGACCCAACACTCTCACAAGTCTTGGGAGACAGGCCAGTCCTTGCCTACAGACAGCCCCGCAACCTGAAGCAAATACTCACCAACAACCACATACCACACAACAGAACCACTAACCCAGGAACTTATCCTTGCAACAAAGCCCGTTGCCAATTGTGCCCACATATCTATTCAGGGGACACCATCACAGGGCCTAATAACATCAGCCACACTATCAGAGGCTCGTTCACCTGCACATCCACCAATGTGATATATGCCATCATGTGCCAGCAATGCCCCTCTGCCATGTACATTGGTCAAACTGGACAGTCTCTACGTAAAAGAATAAATGGACACAAATCAGATGTCAAGAATTATAACATTCATAAACCAGTCGGAGAACACTTCAATCTCTCTGGTCACGCAATCACAGACATGAAGGTCGCTATCTTAAAACAAAAAAACTTCAAATCCAGACTCCAGCGAGAAACTGCTGAATTGGAATTCATTTGCAAATTGGATACTATTAATTTAGGCTTAAATAGAGACTGGGAGTGGCTAAGTCATTATGCAAGGTAGCCTGTTTCCTCTTGTTTTTTCCTACCCCTCCCCCCCCAGATATTCTGGTTTAACTTGGATTTAAACTTGGAGAGTGGTCAGTTTAGATGAGCTATTACCAGCAGGAGAGTGAGTTTGTGTGTGTATGGGGGTGGGGGGGAAGTGAGAAAACCTGGATCTATGCAGGAAATAGCCCGACTTGATTATGTAAAGAGTTGTCACTTTGGATGGGCTAGCACCAGCAGGAGAGTGAATTTGTGTGGGGGGGTGGAGGGTGAGAAAACCTGGATTTGTGCTGGAAATGGCCCACCTGTTGATCACTTTAGATAAGCTATTACCAGCAGGACAGTGGGGTGGGAGGAGGTATTGTTTCATATTCTCTGTGTGTATATAAAGTCTGCTGCAGTTTCCACGGTACACATCTGATGAAGTGAGCTGTGGCTCACGAAAGCTCATGCTCAAATAAATTGGTTAGTCTCTAAGGTGCCACAAGTACTCCTTTTCTTTTTGCGAATACGGACTAACACGGCTGTTCCTCTGAAACCTGTCATTAAACACACCAAACATGCTGAATTTGGCATTCAGTATTTTTTGGAGCAGGGTGGGAAGTTAGAAACCAGGTGCTATTTGTTATCTATCCCATTGTTGGGCTTGGTAAGTTTCTTTCAGGGTTTCACCCACCCGCCCCCATCAGACTCTGTTAGCAACCTACACCACATTCCTAAAGCTGTTCATTCTCTTTAAATACCATTCCACTTAGCATGTCTGTCAACATCCATTGGGTAATCAGTTGCTCAGTTATCTGGAGCAATACTTGTTTTTAAAAAGTCCCTTTAAAAAAAAAGTTACATTAATGATTATTGGAGGTATAACCCAGGCAGTTATATGTATGTGTGTATTTTGCAATAAGTAATTTAATGTAAAAAATTATTGAGATATAGTACTGTGCTTTTAAAGGACCTGCTGTGCAGTCCTCTGCTGGAATGCCAGAGAGAACCAAAAAAACATCCAGTGTACCCTCTGGAAAAAATACTTCAGGAGATTCTCGGTAAGAAATACTTTATATTGAGGCTCGGAAGGATTAGATTTTTATGAGTAAATGTTGTTAAACGTCAATTTCACTGTACACACGTACAAAGTGACATGATCAAATTATAAAATTTACAGATAACTTCTCAAGCATTGTTTTTGTCTATTAGAGTTTGCTTCAAGGATATTTACTTGGTATGTTTTGACATGTGATGTTGACAATTTGTTTTAACAGTTATAAAGATTTAACTTCTTAATCTTAACATCTATTGTCATTAAATAATTCTGAGCCTAGATTCTCACAATCGTGAAAATTTCAATTGATTAAAAATTGAAAAAAGTTGATATTATCCATAAAAATTATTTTTTAAAAAACTCATTTTGCCAAGCCAATGTATATTTTACAGTAAGGTTAATCAAATGATCAGATTTGCTAGGCTTGTTAAATGTAAACAACATATACAGTATGTAGGAAATATGTCGCAACTAGTGCCACTGGAAGTTGATGTAGCAGAATTTCCACCCATTCTGTGAAGGGAGGGTCTCCTTGTGGGCTTTTCTGGTATTCTTTTCTACAGAACTTGAGTTTTCTCAAGTGTTAGGTGGAACTCTTGGCTGGTAAGGGAACAGTTTCAATGTAAACTGATAGTGCTTTCTGCCTGAGACTGCAGACACAGTGGGTATGTCTACACAGCACCTAGACATCGAGTCGGCTGGCATGGGCCAGCTGCGGGATTTGGACTTGGGCTGCATCGCTGTTTCATTGCTGTGTAGACTTTCAGGCACTAGCTGGAGCCTGGCCTCTAGGACTCTCCCACCTTGCAGAGTCCCAGAGCCCAGGCTCCAGCTTGTGCCTGGAAGTCTACGCTGCAAAGAAGCCCGAGCCCCATGAGCCTAAGTTGGCTGGCACAGGCCAGCCATAGGTTTTTCTTTGCTGTGTAGACATACACCAAGAAACGTTAGCTTTAAGAACTATGAACTTCCCTGTTGCTCTCAGTGGAATAATCACTCTGAAGTATACTAATAGAAACATCCAGCTACAATACTTATCTGTATGGAATGTACTTTCATATAGCCTTCCCAGACTTGCTAAGATTTCAAGTTTTATGTTTTACCAAATTTTACCAAAAATTGAATATTATGTCTATAACATAATTTTTGTCCTTAGCATGGGACCTGCGGGGTCGAGGGCAGGAAAATGTCTGATGGGAGAGTGGAAGGTCTCTAAGGCAGGGGAGGGTTCATGTGAAAATCTCAAGTAGGCACTGAAAGCTCTGAACTTGGGGGGCAAGAAATTTAAAACAAGACTGAGTGACCGTTTTACTTCAAATTATTCAATACAAACAAACATAATTTGGTTTAAATTTTCTTTTAAAAATCTCGTGGATTTTTCCAAAAAATCTGCAAAATCCAGGGCAAAAATTCCAGTAAATAGGGAAAATTTGCTGCCAATTTCCACTGGCCCTAGGCATGACAGGATTTAATACCAGGGAAAATACCACTCCGAGAAGTATTCCATAATCCATAAGCAACAACAGAATCAGTTAGAAAGTAGAAAAATTCTGAAAAATCAAATTTTTTCACAGAAATTTAAATTTTTGAAAAATTTTAACCACTTGATAAACTGGTAACAGAGCAAGCAGTTTCTGTGAAAACTTCCAAAAAATGTATGCAAAGAATTTGTCAAGTTTGAAAGCGTCCAGTCATCTCCAGCATAAGTAAAGGGTGGGGCAGTCTAATAAGAAGTGCCCGAGCTTTCACGCACCTGGCCACGGCCCATTCAGTTTATTCTTGTATTACATATAAAGGAATGGCAGGTTCACGGGCAGCATGTTTAATATTTTTTTAATTTAAAAGCAGAATAAGGTGTCTGATTATGGGTTAAGCACCTTTTGTTGTTCCTTTTCTCTACTCCGCGTCAGCTCATGAATTTATAGAGCCTTTCATGAATGCCTAAATAGTTGTTGTTCCATGGTTGGCTGAATTCATCTAACTGGCTGTGATAATTTTGTTGTTTCTGTTGCTTTGGTTTAACCTTATTTTGTGAGGAAAAAATATAAGTAACACGGTATGAAGGGTTTGTCCCAGTACTAATAGTAAGTAAATGTCACTTCACTGATTTCAGACTCCCAGCACAAAGCGGAAGATAAGGTGGCAGATCACCCATGACTTGAAATGACTGCCTTTACTTGTACGGCATTGCTACTGAAGGTCCTAGGAAAACAGTTCCATAAAATCATCTGCATTCCAACTTGTCTCACAGTTTTATATGGAAGACAACTGTGTGTTACTGATTACAATACAATGTGCAAGCAGAAGTTTACAAACATTTACAAAAGTTTACTTAGTTTCTTTTGTGGGATACAAATTATTTTCTAGTGCCCTTTTTAAAGCATAATTGATTTTTTTTTTTAATTTTTTTTGTAAATTGTTATTCCCCATTTATGACTGGTTATAAGAGGATACCATCAAGACATTTAAAATTATTTTTAAACATCATGGTGAATGTAGTAGGGTGCCCGGAGGACCAGGTTGGCATGCCTGACTTCTGGCCCCTTGCTTCCCTGGCAGAGGTACCTCAGTCATTAAGAAGGTATGATAGGGGGACTTGGGCCCTCCCTCTCCACCAGGTTCCAGCCCAGGGCCCTGTGTGAAGCAATGCCAGCAGGGTCCTCCCATCAGAGAGTCCAAAATCTGTCCTACCCTAGAAAATTAGCTTAACTACGATGCTCAGTGGTGAAAAATCCACACCCTGGAGCAATGTCGTTAAGATGACCTAACCCCTGGTGTAGACAGCGCTAGATTGACAGAACAATTCCTCTGCCAGCCTAGTTACTGTTTCTCGGGGCGGTGGATTCCCTACACTAAAGGGAGAACCCCTCCCATCACCATAGGGAGTATCTACACTGACGCACAACAGTGGCTTAGCTGTGCCACTGTAGTATTTTAAGTGTAGATATACCCTAATTCCACTGCCCCGGGCTACTTCCTGTCTATGTCTCTTCAGTTTGGGGAATGGCCACTATAGTCTGTAGTGGTTCAACTCAAATAGCATCCCCTTGTGGACCTTTTGTAGCATCCTGCTACAGTCCCAGGTTCCTCTGAGCAGGGCGGATGTAAGATTGGAGGGGTCTAACCTGACAACATCAATCACACAGCTCATTCACTGCTGAGAGCTCCTCGGTCTCTTCAGCAATCTCCCTCAGTCAGGGACACAATGTGTCTTCCCTTGAGGCTGTCCTAACTGTCAGGCTCCTAGTGATGCTCCCCTCATGTAAGGAGACAGCTGGCTCCTGCCTCTTCACCAGTCAGCTCTGAACTGTGCCAGGTTCTCTCTCTCCTTTTCTTCTTCCTCCAGGCCTAGCATTGGCTGCAGGAATAGGGAGGGCCATAGGCTCTCTTTACCCCTTTTTGTACTGGTGTGAGGTTTCTCAGCTTCACCACAGTTAATAAGCCCAAGATGCAAATACCATCTTGCATGTCTTTGTGTATACCATAAAAACATTTATGCCACTCCAATACACCTATTTGGAAATCTTGGGTGGGGTGAATTGCTCTCATCGGGTGATAACCAGAGCACCAATCATACTGCATTAAAATTTTGGCACCAAGAATTCTTGCCATGGGCCCTTCTTTCTGACCCCTCCAAAAATTCCCTAATATTTACTATACACATGCCTCTAGAGCACAGGGATGTCCCTGGAATATTACCGGAAATTACGAATCTCCAAAAAAGTAGAGTGTCCCGAAGTAATCATTATGTGCTTTACACTAAGCCTAGTGGCATGCTTAGGAGTGATCTACAAAGTTTAGTCTCGGCCAGGTGTGTAGCTATGCCATGAAAACATTAATAAGTCTTATAGTTATGTACCCTACATGCAGACTCACCTGGGACATAAGAATGTGTTCCTGCTCCTTCTTCGTAGAAAGAGGTATACTGCAGGAGAAGAGGAACTCCTTGTGAGTCAAAAGGCAGATAAACTGAGAAAGTGGCAGAAAATGTTTGATAGGCTGAGAGCTATGTCTGCTGGCCCTGTTCACCTCCACTGCCATCAGGATTCCAAACTGCTGCTGTGGGAGTGTTTCAGAATTGTGTGTTCTAGGACACTCAACTTCCAGTAGTTATGGTGAACCTTTCTTGGCCATGCTGAAGTCCGCCAAAAATATAAGCAACTCAGCTCAGTCTGTTTAATTTTGGTACATCTAATGCTGATTTCAATTTTTTCCTGCCTAACTTAGCTTCCCTCATAGTTAAATCTTTTGTAGACGTTAGAGTACAAGATGAATTCTTTATTCAGCCTAGCCCTACTCTGCCACCTAAGTTCAGGCCTACTTCCTCAACCAGAGGGATAATGACCAGTCTTTGGCGAAAAGTGGAGAACTGTGGACAATCAAGATGTAAATATTAGCTTAGAGCCTCTTTCTTCTCAACCACTGAAGTAGTAAAAAGAAAAGGAGTACTTGTGGCACCTTAGAGACTAACCAATTTATTTGAGCATAAGTTTTCGTGAGCTACAGCTCACTTCATTGGATGCATACTGTGGAAACTGCAGAAGATGTTATATACACAGAGACCATGAAACAATACCTCCTCCCACCCCACTCTCCTGCTGGTAACAGCTTATCTAAAGTGATCACTCTCCTTACAATGTGTATGATAATCAAGTTGGGCCATTTCCAGCACAAATCCAGGTTTTCTCACCCCTCCCCGCCCCCCCCACACACACACAAACTCACTCTCCTGCTGGTAATAGCCCATCCAAAGTGACCACTCTCTTTACAATGTGTATGATATTCAACGTGGGTCATTTCCAGCACAAATCCAGGTTTTCTCACCCCCCCTCCTTTTTTTAGCCTTTGGATGGGCTATTACCAGCAGGAGAGTGAGTTTGGGGGGGGGGGGGGCGGAGGGTGAGAAAACCTGGATGTGTGCTGGAAATGGCCCAACTTGATTATCATACACATTGTAAGGAGAGTGATCACTTTAGATAAGCAGGAGAGTGGGGTGGGAGGAGGTATTGTTTCATGGTCTCTGTGTATATAATGTCTTCTGCAGTTTCCACAGTATGCATCCGATGAAGTGAGCTGTAGCTCACGAAAGCTTATGCTCAAATAAATTGGTTAGTCTCTAAGGTGCCACAAGCACTCCTTTTCTTTTTGCCAATACAGACGAACACGGCTGTTACTCTGAAAACTGAAGTAGTAGTAATAGTCTCTTCCAGTCGGGTAGTTGTGAGGGATATGGTATTCTGAGCAGGAAAAGTGCTGCAAGAAAGACCAGTTCCTGCTGATGAGTTCTGCTAGAAGAGTTGCTTACATGTCCGAATGTTACCAAAGAATATTATTAGAATTCAGTCTGCAATTTCTCGCAGAACTCTCCCTTTATTGAAGGAGAAAAGTCTGGGGAGGGATAGCTCAGTGATTTGAGCATTGGCCTGCTAAACCCAGGGTTGTGAGTTCAATCCTTGAGGGGGCCATTTAGAGATCTAGGGCCAAAATTAGGGATTGGCCCTGCTTTGAGCAGGGGGTTGGACTAGATGACCTCCTGAGGTCCCTTCCAACCCTGATATTCTATGATCAGTAAATTCCCTTATTGATAAAACACCTAGGGAATTCATACAAATTCTACCTTTTCTGCTCACTCAGTTAAGCTTTAAATTCCAAGTTGCTACGGTAAAATTAAGGTCCTCAGTCCCTGAAGTAGACACTGCAGTGTCCTCTTCTTTAAGCAACCCTTCCTCTTGAAAGGAATGTCAGTCCCCAGGATCTACTTGAAATGCCCTCAGTGAAATAATATGGTAGGAGGTTGCATTGGCTCGCTTAGACTTGCTGGGGCTCAGGGCCAAAGCCTGAGCCCCACCGCCTGAAGCTGAAGCCCGAGCGCTTTAGCCCTGGGCATCAGGGCTCAGGTTACAGAGCCACTGGGCTTTAACTTTGCCCCTTTTCCCCCCCTTTCGTCCCCACTTCTGTAATCCAGTTTATCCATTGCTGGCATATTTTCAGGGGACACCATCCTGTGAACTTGCTGCCAGCTGATGTGAGAGCAATATGCAATCTCTGGTATCCCTCTGGGGAGAGAAGGAGACCAAGTCCATCTGAAATTGATCATATGTAACATCCTGGCATGTGACAAGGCAGCCAAGCATGGCCAGCATGGGCACCACTGAGACCGGCAAACAGGCCATGAGAAGATAAAGGATCCAGAAACACAAGACCCAGGATGACTCCAACTGCTTTTGCTCAGAGCAGAAAACTTGCCTGTTTTTTACAATGAGCTGGACTGAATCCTCAGAACGGAGACCAGTCTGCTGGTAGATACTGCGCAGAAGCATCTTGAGGCTTAATTGTGAGGGACACAGAGGAGGAAAAATAGTTGTTCCATGGACCAGGAGATGCCTGATGCATTGCTGGGATCTCAGAATCAATTTAGTGGATCTGGGATCCCAACCCAGAAGCACAGATGAATGATACCTGAGCCAGCTTGGGAGGAGGAGGAATCTGGAACCGGGGGCCCGCTACTGCAGGTATGTTGCTTTTCTCTGTAAGTTGTACTTGTGAGAGCTTATTTTGCAGGGTCGATAGGAAGAGTTTTCCAAGTTCTTAAGAGTACTGCTTTTAGTATCTGCAAAGGTGCAGATAGAGCCTCATGGAGGTGCAAGTGTCCATTTGTCCCACTGCTCTGCCATACCCTGCTCTCCAATGCCTCCCCCTTTCCACATGCTTCTGTAGCAAGAGGGGCAGCTTTTAAGCTTGACTCCCAGATCTCTGTATATCTTCACCCGTTCGGGATCCATGAGCCTGCTCCTGGTCAGGGCAAAAGTTGCAGTTTGGCAGATACAGCAGCTAGCTGAGCCATGCCATGTGGCTGGACTCAAGCAGGGGGAGAAATTTAAAAAGTAACACAGAAACCACAATGTAAAAGTCTAAAAATAGAATTTTACTGTGAGAATTACATATTAGGCATGATGGCCAAAGCATTTAGATTACATTATATTGGCCCATAGGCTGGACTACAGTATCTGAATGTGCTGCTTTCAGCAATTTCAGGTGCATAATAATAGTTCAGTCCCTCCAAACTGTGGCCTTGATTCAAAAGCAGCATTCAACCCACTAAAGACCATTCCCAAGAATGTACTTGGGCACACAGCCATTGCATCGTGAACTCCGTGTACTGCTGGTCTCCCTGTTTCTCTGAAGGTAGAGCTAGGACATATGTAGTCACTTCTTGACTGTTTTAAAAACTCCAGCAGAAACCTTTTTTAACTGAGCAAGAACTGAGGTTGAGAGCTGAATGTTCACCCTTCAAAGTCTAGGAAATGGTGGTACCAGGACTTCTGGGATTTTCACTGGGGTATTATGGGAGTTTGCTATATTCTCAGAACCTTTCTGTGGTTTCCCAGGTCTTTGAAATCTCTCAAAATCCACTGTTTTAGGGAGCTGGGCCAGGAAATGACACTGCAACTGCACAGACATGGGACAAAAACTGAAACTGAAAAAACAGGCTGGCTGGTGTGAGCATACTGCCCTGTTGATAACTTACATCGGTGGTGTCCCACCAGTTCAGTTACTAGTGGTGTTATACCAATAAAATAAAAACCAGCAGGATCTTATTAAAGGGAAAAAGGCAAAATACCACATTTATTGTGAATACAGAAAGAATCATAGTAAGCAGTTAGTTATAGCTATAACATTCCATTCAATCTCATATTTATTCACACATTCATTCATACAAACACACACACACAGGTTCTGCAAGGTTGGCATCATAGTTACCAGCCTTAGAGTTGCTCATGCCAAGCCACTGGCCAGGTGGCCTGGACATGAGGAGGGAGCAGGGCCTTGTCAGATGCTCATCTGATGCTCCTGGAAGTTGGTTTGCAGAATCAGACCCCCCAAAGTTGTCACTTTTTAGAGTCTATTTTTATAGGAATTTCTTCCTATGCCAGTCTATGGGAATTGCTTCATCATGCTGTTGCTGAATCAATCAGCAGATAGCACATTCCTGACGGCTCCGTGCTGCTAGATGTTATCTTGTTCTTTGGCTCTCCCATTCTTGAGGCTGTTGGGTGGATTCCAGTCTGCCCTGCGGGGGACCTCTGGTTATTTCCGCTTGACGCCTTCTTCAGCCGATGGACACTGGATTCTTAGGCTGGCACCTCCCTGATCATTCAGTTATTATCCACACCAAGCATCCATCCACATACATCCTCTAGCTCTATTTTAATCACAATTGTTAATACAACAAAAGGGCGGGGAGTCTCTGGGTGCTGTTTCTGTTGTTACAGAGTATTGCTTTGAGTCTCTCTCTGTGTGAATTGTTTTGAGAACAGACTCTGTCTTAGAATGTACTAATGCAATTAGCAGCTTGCAAGTTTCACACATAGAGGGAGAGAAACAGTACCAAAAACCAAGAGATCTCTTAATTAGTAATACCCTGGAATCTAAACTATGGGGAATCAAACTCATTTGTGATTTTAATACAGAACTTCTTTAATATGATCCAGCAGTGGTTCATTTTGTTTAGACAGGATAGGAGAGGTTCATTAGTTTAATGACTTGGGTATGAACTGTGAATCCAATTCATATTCTTAATAGTCTCATATCCTCCTTCCAATAAAAAGAGAGAGAGGTGTAAACTCAATCTTGTCTCTCAGCTTCAATGCTCTTCATGTTCCCTGATTAATTCTCAAGTTGATTTCTTTTTCTGGATACACAAACGTAACTCCTTCATAAAAAAAAAAAAAAAAAAAAGTGTAATCATTATTACAAGTTGTTTGATAGGAAAAGGAGGGTACCTTCCATCATTCTGTTTGTAATACACTAATTTCAGCACAGTGATTCCCAATATTTGTCCTTAATTTAAAAAAAAAAAAAAATCCTGAAGGTGCTGCTTCTTCCATATAAAATGCTTATACAGTAAATGAAAGACCAGAAATAATTCTCAAATAATGCATAGTAGGATACAACAATGATTATAGTCTGTATTACTCTTTACAGTTTAAGTAAACTAATCAGAGTTGTTTGCAGTTATGACAGGTTAAAATAAGAGACACATGGCCAAATTCAAACTAGCATAATTCCATTGACTTTCAGGGGTAAACATCTAGGATAAATTTAGCTCAGTTATATTAGAAAACGTACATTTAAAATAAAATTCCATGTTAACAAAAAATGAATAAAGCAGTAACATGAAACTTGTCAAAATATTTCAGACTGACTTCAAAAAACTCTCTCGAAAATTAGCAGCAGTAAGTTGGTTAAGAAGAGAGAGAATCTAAACAAGAACAGTCCATGAAATGAAACCAGACAAAATGATAGAGAAACAAACCCCTTGGAGTGCTAAGGTTCTTCTGAATTTTAGCTTTCTATCTATGGGATGGATGGTGCATTCTAGTTACATGTTTAAATGTAGGTGTAACCTTTGCTTCCTATAGCAAATCTCTTGCTGTGAGTGATGTAATATGAGCCTCTTAGTGTTTTACTGGGGTTGCATGGTTTCCATCATACCTTTCCAAGAGTACACCTTTAATATACAGCAATTAATTCACCCATTTTTTTCTTATATTTTATAATCTCTGCCTGTTGATGGTCATTCTATTCATTAGCTGTTATATAGCAAGTTTTATCTGTATTGTGCATAGGAGGGAAGTATTGTCATTCCTGTATTATAGATAGTGAAGTGCTGAAAGGTAAAATAACTTGTTCAAGATCACATAGTAGGTCAATGGCAGAGCTGAGCCTAGAACTCAAGTCCTTCTGTTGTCTAGCCCAAGGCACTATCAGTGGGCCACGCTGCCTCTGAAAATGTTCCCCCACTCAATGAGTGAATAGAATAGTGTTTTGCCAATTTAATATAAATATAAGATAACATACGGTATTTCGTCCTGTCTGACTTGAACACATTGATTTCAAATGCAAAACTCTCACTGACTTCCAGGGAGCAGGCTCCAAGAGACCCACTTTCCATGCCTGATAGCTATATTCCTGATTTGCACTCAAATCTTTGTTAGAGTCAAAGCCATCATGTCCTGTAAGATCTGAGGTTCTAACACTTGCCTGATCTCTCTCATGCTGTCACCACAGGCTTTCAGTTAGTATCCCCTGATTAACATAGTAAGCATTACACATTAAAATAATTCTACTCTACATATCTTATTTTATTACAGTATAAAAGTTGTTTATAAACTACATGTAAATGTTACACAGAAAATATTTTAAACTTTAGGTCTCAAATGGGATTGTGAGAATTGACAGATGTTATGAGGTATTTTGCCCTGTTGTACTGTATTGCTTCAAAGTGGCATGTAGGTTCGTATTAGAGATAGAAAAGAGTGATTAGATCATTGTCTACTCCGAGCACAAAAACTAGTCTTGCAGTAGAGGACATATTAGATATTAAAGTGATATGATGGTGTAACCCACTGATCACTGTGTGGTGTCTCTCCCTCAATGCCCATTCCACAGAGGACAAGGGTTTGCTATAGAGCCTGCCTCTTTAACTCTAGTTGTAGGGATGAATGTAATCGGCACTTGAGATCACTAGTTCAATCCCAAGTGTTAGCCATGGTAGAGGTTAACAAGAGGGAATCACCAAAACCAGCAAGAAAATGCCCAGGCTTAATTCAACCTGAGCATTGTGTAGCTCAAAAACTTGTCTCATTCACCACCAAAAGTTGGTCCAATGAAAGGTATTACCTCACCCACCTTGTTTCTCAGGCCTAATTAGGTAACTTATCCTGCCTGTTCCTGAAAAAAAGTGCAGGATATGTAAAAATCACATGAGGTGTGACTGCAGCTTGAGTAGACATATCTGAGCTAACTTTAATCTAGCTAGCTTGGGTCCACAAGCAGTGAAGCTGCAGCAGTGCGTGCCAGCTCCATAAGCAATTAGGGTTTTGGGCGAGCTCGTACAGCCCACACTAAAGCACACCCTGTCACGGCTTCACTGCTCTGTTACCCAAACTAACTAGAGTTAAGATAGCTCAGGTGTGTCTATCTGAGCTGTAACCACACCCCATGATTGCAGTACTGATGTACCCTTTGTGGTTTTGGTTTACACGAAGGATAAACAGTAGCAGCGCTGCCATGTTGGGAAGCTGACAATACAAGAGTGATACACATAAATACTGCAAAAATAGAGCAGATACGAGAAAAATCAGCAGCTTCACTACTCAAGTTGGGGCAAAGAACAGTTACATGATGCTGAGCTCTGATTTTAAGATCATCCTTGTTCTAATGTGTGTCATCCCCATCTGTCCCCCTCTCTTTCCTTCCCACCCACCCCTGCCATTGGAAGCACGGTTTATGGCATGCTTACAGTGGCTATGTATTAATCAGAATAGTGACAATGTGTAACTCATGCTCAGTTATTGAACCAGAGGAGTTCTGTGAGATGCATTACTGTAGTGATAAGTGTAACTTCCCTTTTCTGTTCTAATTTTGTTTGAGACTTTATTACAGATTATGCTAGTAGGCTAGTGAGATGAGACTCCCCCACGATAAAGGATATAAGGAGTGGTGGTGTGAAGTGAAATGACAAAATTGTGTTGGGAAACTCTTGTAGAGGTAGCTTGATTTGTATGCTGAGGTAGCTTAATGTGATTAAGTCAAACCCCTTTGTTAGGAGGCTAACTTGGGTAGAGTAGCTTTTCAAAAGTGCATTGGTGATTTAGGAGCTCATGTTCTCTTGATTTTCTCATCAATCATTTAGGCACTTTCGAAAATTTTGCCCAGGATGCTATTAGAACTTGATTATCTTGTTGAGTTTACAAAGTGTCCCTGACTTGAAGTGAAATAGTATTAATACCCACAATAGGCCCCCAAATTTACAACTGTGCATAACCAAACCCATAAATGTATACATGACTTCTGCAACTTTGTGTTAGGGTAAGCAATTTTGCTGTGCTGGTATTGGATAATCTAGACTAATCCATACTTTTGTTTTGCATTCAGGCATAAATGAAACCCTCACAATGGAGTTGTCAGATAATCTAGAAAAAGAATAATCCTGTTTACAGAAAAAATACATGGGTATGGGGCTATATACTGTACAGAATACTGCTTCACACTTATATAGTACTTTACATATTCAAAACTATGTAGAGATTAATGTTCACACAAACCTGTGAAGTAGGTAAGTATCACTATCCTCATTTTATGGATTGGGAAATGGAGCCAGACAGGTGAAGTGATGCAGCTGGGATGAGAATTTGGGAGTTCTTGGTTCCCAGACTGGTCTCCCAAGCACGGACGTTCCAAACACCCTCCTCAACATAATGTCACTTTACATCTTTTAACGTTTTCCTTCCACTGACATGATGTCTCGATCCTAAAGCAGCTCAGTCGTTAAAGTCTTTGCATAAAGAGATGGTCTGTTGAGGGAAATGGGCAGTGTGGGGGAAGCTATTGTGTGAGTTGTTCTTGTCCTACGGATGAACACATGTCAATCTCCAGGGCTTTCAGTGGAGGCCTTCTTAAGAACACTAAATTTAAAGAAAAGAAAATCTCCCCCTGATCCTGCCCCAAACTCCTACTTTAGAATATGACACACCTCTTTAGTATTTGTAGTGTTCTGAGATTCTAAAGATAAAAATTCTTACTGGATACATGACCTGTAGTGCCCTTAGTGATTCAATACAAAACAGGGCCTGTGTTTAGGCTACCCCTACATTTAAGCTTTCGGGAATGTTAGAAGCTATTTTGAATTGAATTAAAATAACTGATTACCTTTTTCATTAGAATGTTTTAATCACCATTACGTCCTGCTATCTAGGAGCTCTACTAACACAGGTGATTCATGTTACTTCTTATTTGAACTTGAAGCACTCTTCATTAACTACAGAAGACTAGCACCCCTCTAGAAGGCACAGTGCTGTATTTCAGAATAGCTTGTAAGCAGGTATGGGCACAGGTTCTCTTGATGGATCATAAATGTGGAATCCTGCTAAAGATGAACATTTCCATACAGAACATGGTCATGATTCTAGCTCAGTATCTGTGTTGCATTTCTTTTAACCGTGACCCTTAAGTGAAGGAAAATGATTTAAATATTTAGTTAAACTCTTTGCAGAAGTTCAAACCAAACTGATAAAATGCTCATTAATATTATATGTTTAGACAATGCCTATAAAAATCCATATTGTTAAAGATATACAATAGTGGATGAAGCAAAGTGAATACAATGTGCAATCAGAAAGGACAACACAGTAAATTAATTCATCTAAATCTACACCCACAAAACAAATTTTTAAAGCTTTTATCCATAAAGTCCTAGAATAATTTAAAAATGCACAACAGGCATACACTAGCATTCCTGAAGTTTTCGGAGAAGGGCTTTTTTTAGTAGTTCATTAATACATCAATCTATTTTTAAACAACTTAATGGGACTTGAGGGCAGAGAGCACCTTGCAGGATTTGGACTTTACATTTCTGTGTTTTCTTTTGATGCAGAAGAACCTAATCAGCAACAGCAGCAAACTAAAAACCACAGGATCTTTGTGAAGTGGTTTACGGGAGATGAATGAACCCTGAAGGTTTTCTTTTGAAAAAAACAGAGTTTGTAGTGTGTTATCTTTTCCAATTTGCATGAGTTCACCAGGTCTTGTCAGTTGATGGCACTTTGACACCTGAAGACTTTTAGAAAGGAACTATATACACACAATTTACAAAAACAAAACACAAACAAAAAAGAGCATATTTCTGTTTTGGTTTATACAAACAAATGTAACTTAATGGCTAGATATAATTTGTTAATTACTACTGTGCTGAAACCATGAATATAAAATTACTTAACATTTTCATACCTGCCATATATTTATCCAACTTTAGTGGGGGTTTGACACTATTTGTAGCTGTGGAAGAGTCACGGTGGGACCTTCTCTGATCTTGCATCCAGAAGGACTTTAGACCAGTCATTGACTGCAACAAGAGCTGCCATACATATGTGGAGGACTGTAACATCAAGCTTATGTTGCTAGAGTAGTTTAGCTGCCAAGGAACATTTATGCTACAGATTGTTACAATGAATAAGTATCAGAGGGGTAGCCATATTAGTCTGTATGCTACCAGACTCCTCATTGTTTTCACGATGAATTACCACTTGTCTGGACTAAACAAAGGCCATCATTATCAACCAAAAGTGAACAGAGCTTGCTTGGATGAGGAACATAATCTTTCCTGAGGCTGTGTCTACACTACAGACTGTACAGCAGCGCAGCTGTAAGGTCTCCTGTGTAGTTGTTCTATGCCAGCGGGAGAGAGCTCTCCTGCCGGCATAATTAAAACACCTCCAATGAGCAATGGCAGATATGTCGGCGGGACATATCTCCTGCTGACATAGTGCTGTCTACACTGGTGCTTTTGGTGGTTGCGGTGTAGTTTTGCTGACAAAAAAAAGCTAGTGTAGACATAGCCTGAGAGTTAGATTGTGCAAGGGGCTGAGTGCTGGCGTCAGTGGGACCACTCGTGCTTAAAGCTAAGTTTAGGCTTAAGTGCTTTCTTGGATTAGGCCCAGAATGCCTAGCATCTTGCAGGATTAAGGTCTAAATGAAAATTAATGTGTTGTCTTAACCATATACTTCCTCTTCAGAAAAAGCCATTTATACAAGACATTTATTCTTAGGCTACAACAGTGGTAGTTATTTCCAACCCTGGAGAAAACACCATATCTCCACACACAGTGGAAGTGCACCTCAAAAAAAAAAAGAAATTTGAGTTCAACCTAATCACCAGAGCAAATATTTTGTTTTTAAAAAAGTGAGAGGAGATAAAATAATTGAAGGAAGTCACAACTTAAATTAAAAATTCTTAAAGCTCAGTGATTAAGTGCTTGCCATTAAAACCTACTGGACCCTCCTAGATTCTACATATGAACAATGTTCAAGTCATTTGTATAAACTAACTGCGAGTCATGGCTCATTTAAAAAGTTATGTTTCCCACCCTCACCCCCATAGCAGCCATCATGTTTTGTGCATGTTCTAGATACATTTGTATTTCCACTGAAGAACACTAGTTCAGCTATTTAGTTTAAGTGTGAAAACATGGAGGGTATTGAGCAGAAAAGATGGCATTGTTGCAAGTGTCATATGCTATGAAACTAGTAAGTATTAGATAAAATACATCTATTCACTCTGTTACTTCCTGGAACATTCTACAATGTTTATAATGTCCTTTTTAAAAGTTCTTAAATGGTTTGGGGCTTTTCTCCTTCAGAAATCTGGGTATGAAAAGGAGCCCTAAAAAAGATGATAGTTATCTGAATGCATGGTGAAAATGAGGCAATGTTACAGAATTTGTACTGGATGAAAAAGAATGGGGATGAAGCTGGTTTAGGGCCACTCCACCCAGAGCTAGCTGTGCACCTTGCTGTTGGCTGAGGCAGCTCAGCCTGTGTGGTGCTTCCTCATGACCAAATGCCATTGTGATGTCCCCACTGTTGTTCTGGTTATCACTCTGAGGGAACTGCCAGAAACCCAGTATATGAGTAAGATCCATGGAGGGCATGTTAATAGATTCAACTGTTGTCACAGTCTCCTTGTGCAATATGTACTTGCCAGCATCGCCTGTACCCCCCGAGGAAGCTTCTTCCAGATTGACTTTGTGAGGTTCTGGTAAAGGCAGGTCCTCGAGCAAGTTCACATTATGAGCTTTAACATCCACTTCGATGGGTAGGTTTTTGAGGGATGCTGGTGCAAATGAGGTAGTACTCAGTTCATATTTGTTGTGCTGATGAAGATTCTGGTTGGTAGGAATTGATGGTGGAGATGGTTTAGAATGAGTGGCTGAGAGACTATCTACACAGCTCATCCTTAGCAAGTGAGGAGGTTCCAGAGGATGAGTAGACTGTAGGCTTTGTTGACAGTGAATATGTGGGCTGCTATACTCTTCTGCATCCAATGTGTTCAGAATCCCATGCTGCATAGAAGCCCTCTCAGGAAAAGAGGACAGGATACTGGCATCTTCCTTCAGTCTGAATGGAGAGAGAGGGTCAAAGAGACCCTGAAAGTCACCATTCTGCAACCTGCCCTTCAGCAGCTCTTGTGCATGTGTTTTCTTCATGTGGCGAGTCAAGTGGTCCTTGCGCCCAAATCTCTGGGCACAAAACTGGCAGAAGAAGTCCTTGCAGCCTGTGTGAACCACCATGTGACGCCGCACATCTTTGCGGGTGTAGAAATAGCGTTCACAATGGTCACACTTATGTTTCTTTTCCTTGGTGCCACTGCCTGGCTTCCCTGCATGAGTTTTGAGGTGTTCTAACAACACTTCTGTGCCTCCGAACTCTTGGGAGCACATCCTGCAGGTAAGGTCCCCACTGGTGGCTGCATGAAGAGCCAGGTGGCGTTTGTAACCCAGCTTGGTGTTGTACTTCTTGCCACAGTCTTCACACTTGAAGGCCATTTTGTTGGGATTGTGAGTCTGAAGGTGATTTTTCAGGTGGTCCTTTCTGTGGAAGGTCTTTTCACAGTAACCACATTGGTGAGATTTCTGTGGAGAGTGGGTGGCCGAGTGCCTAAAACAGAAGAACAACAACATGTTTACGGAACTCATGCACACAAGTGGAATACAGCTTCAGAATGTGAAGGCACTTGCGCTCTCTAGGGTAACAGTTTTGAAAAAGACAGACTCTATTAAATAGCAAACCAGTGGGTTTTTTATAGTCTGTAGAGTTAGATTAACATTACTGCAAAAAACACCTTTTTGAATAGCAATTATAAATTGTACTTGAGAGGCAGAGAATAGCTAGTGGCTACAACAAAGGACTGGGAGTTGGCATACCTATTGTCCTGCCACTGACTCGTTGGAATACAATGGGAAAACTCATTCATCCTCCCTGTGCCTGTTCTCTCATCTGTAAAAGGGGTATAACACTTACTCTCAAAAGTGAGGTGAGACGTAATCAATTTAATGTTTGTGAAGTGCTCAAGTTCCTTAAAAGAAAGGAGTCACATATAAGCCCACCTACTTGGGGCTCAGAATGGATAGTTGTAAGCAACACATGGCAGTGAATCTGTTTTTTTTCATGCACCTTGAACAGCATTTATTTAAATCTTAACATCCTGTATAGAAATATGACCAATGGAGTTTGGCGAGTAGATGTCACTAGTGCCAAGAAAAGACCTCTTTTCCTCCCCACACTCCCACTGGGAAGGGCTGCTATCCCTTCAGGAGCTGTACCTTATCAGTTTATATTTGGAAATGAAAGCTTTCATGCATCCTGGCTGGGAACACCTGTAGGGACGCTCTCCTGTGTGGGCGTAAGTGTGGGCTGTGAGCTTTTCAACAGAAACAAATATCTTCCCGCAGAGTCGACAGTGATAACTGTCTGGCTGCTTCGCTTCTCTTTCCTTTGGTAGTGAAGACTGATCATTTCTCCATGTAGGCACAAACCTCACAATGGAACCGCAAACACTTCCTGAGCTGGCACAGGTAGACTTTGCACTAGGGGAACAGGAAATGGCCCCATAGCACTGGACAATGCTTGTGCCCAAGCCAGTTTCACTCAGTTTGCCTTTGGTTTTGCCCTTGGCTTTTAGAGGTTCTAATTTATTTGCTGCTCTGAAGCTGGTGAGAAGTGCTTTGTCTTTACTGGTGCATTGGTGAGATTCCAGCAGAGCTAAAGTCCCAAAAACGTTACTACAATTGGAGCATATCCAGGCGTCGGCACGCTCTCTCTGCAATGAGAACAGAAACAGTTCCCTCAGATTAACCATTACAAAGAGAGAGAGGTCACATTCTTCTCACCAGCCCTATGTCGTCTTTAGTCTTCCCAAGGCCTCTCGCTTCCCTTGGTGACAGGCACAGCTCGTAACTGTGCCACCCAGACTGGTGTTCAGTTGGAGACGTAGTAATCTTAGCTGTGTACAAGCATGAAAACAAATGATTGGGTAAATGATTATTTCCATGTTGTTGTCTGGTGTTTATTGCTATTCTAGTTCTCATTGAGCCTTGGGTGATTTTTTTTTCTCTGCATAGTAAATTTCAGTGTCTCTTGCGCTTCCATAATAAGAACAAGCACAGTCACAGTTCCATAGTTAAGACTGAGTCAAGTTTTTCACTTAATTTTACACTGAGAGCATTCTGCAGTACTGCAGCTATACAGAAACCATGGGCCTGTGGGATTATTTTGCCAACAATGCAGAGTATGTATCTCTCTCTCTCTCTCTCCATAGAGACATGGAGAACAAAGAAAATAATGAGATGTAAAAGCTTTTGTGCTTTAACACTGGGTGGTGGGAGACAGGCTGTAACATGCAGCATAGGTATGACAAAGAGTTAGGACATAAGCTAGAGCAGTGAATGGGTGAGAGGACAACCTTAAGGATTGGTGTACTCAGTTTCCCAAGAATACGTGCCAGCATGTTAGCCTTTCCAAAGTTTACCATTACATGCCAACACTGTATCGTGCTCTGTGTAGAGTACAAGTACCGTACAGAAAGTAATAGAGCTCCAGGTAATACTTTTTTCTTTTGCTATTTGATTGAAACTGTTAATTCAACGTTAGACTAGTTGACAATCATTTTCAGTCATGTGAACTGAGGCAAGGTGAGCAGGTAAGTTTTCTGAGATAAGGCCAGGTGTTGGCTTGGATGCAATCCTTGGACACTTACTGTTGTTAAAACTGGTGATAAAGCACAGCTATCAGACTCTTCTTTGATGACAACTGCAGAAGCTTCCATAAACTTGGCGTAATCTGCAGCATACCACACTTTTAATTCTGTGTGGGGTTCAATTGGCTGTGAATGGAAAAAAATCCCCAGTGTTTACTTGTATTGTCTGTTTCTATAGGAAACTTTTACATCTTATTTAAAACAGGTGATAGTCTAGTTGTTACCTTTACAGCAACTGTTTTCTTCATATCTGCTTAAACCATTGATAGCTTATGTGATGCTGTATGGAATATGGGTGACCATTTATAATATTATTGATACCAATATTATAAAATTGCAATGAATCTTACAAGATGCACCATGTAAGGTATCAGTGGAAAAGTTCTGATTTGCTAAGTATGATGGCCTTGTTTTTTTAATTTGTAAGTTACAAATATGTATGATATATCTGCATCTCCAACCCGTGCTGTGTTTCTGGATGACATTGCTGAGGCCGATCTGTCTGGGACCATCTAACCTATTGGATGGCCAATCAAGGGCAATCAACTCTACAATGAACCCATTTAGAGAAGCCAGGAGCTATGCCTATGAGTCAGCAAGACATGAGGGACATGTTGTGGACAGGGGATTACAAGAGCTCTTCCACGCCCATGAGCTTGGGTTTGGGACAGAAGATGTACAGGCCACATGGCAAAGGATATTGAAAGGCAGCTGCATCTTCTCCATTTTGTCTTCAATCCTGCTTCTCACCTCTGGAGTAATTTCTCTGCAAACTGAAGCTTTGAACAAAGGACTGATAGACCCATCCAAGCTTTGGATGTGTTCCAGAGGGACTCTACAAGCCGGCAAAGTCACCAGTTCTGCTAAGAACCTGATATATGATGTATGTATATAATTGCTTTCACCATTTAACGACTCTTCTCATTCTTTTCTAATAAACCTTTGGTTTTAGATACTAAAGGATTGGCTGGCAGTGTTGTATAAGTTCCAACCTAATATTATGTTATATGGGTGGCCCTTTGCGGGATCAGAAGAACATTTTGCTTAGTGACTAGAGTTTTAAATAACTTTTCACTTTACTGGACCTATTTGCTGTTTGGGAGCCAGAGACTAGAATTCAATAAAAGGAGCTGGGTGACTTTTTTTATTTTTTTTTTAGCTTCTTGATAACCAGTGTGGGGGGCAGAAGCACAGTTTAGGGATAATCTGCTCTCCTTTTAGCAGCCTGCCCTGACCTTGGCATTTTCAAGGTGGGCTACCCTAAGCACCTTGGTTTACAGCCTAGTTTCAAAATTCAACTTTTTTTTTTTTTAAACTACTATTCAGTGTGAGTTGAAAAATCAGTTATTTATTTGTACAATTCTTAAAGACCGGGAGGAGGAAATTTAACAAAAGTCATTGAGGTTAAGACCAAGGTAAATACTATGCATTATTATTGGCTAAAGATATGATAAATTACAGAAAAATACAGAGTGAGCAGCAGTAAATACATTAGCATTTCACTCTTTTATATAATTTCCATGCTCTGTGGAGGAAACAGCAAAGAAGATTGATGGCTGGGTCTTGTGCTACGTGTGACTTCTTTACATCAATATTTTTGTTCTTTCCTAGCATCAGTGTTAGACATGGGAATGATGTGGTAATACACACAAATTCTTAAGTGGTCAGATGGACTTTGATCATGGATGATGCTTATTCGCTTGTATGCTGTAGGATTTTTGTTTTAAAAATGTGTTGTAGCGATTTGTCATTCGTGGTGGTATTTCACCAAATTCTCTGTGTTCTCTAGTCACTCAATAGGCAAATGAGAGCTAAATAAGTCACTTAAACAAAAATTACATACATACATGTACATATACACATTTCGTAGCAGCAGATTTGTCTCATTGCAGTTTCCTTTCTTTGTTCCAAACTGAATCTTAAGGATCTTCATCTCTGTATTATAAAGGGGAGGGGAGGTGTCACCACTTTTTACCACTCTTAACAGACGTTATTTATGGTGTTCTTTCTCCTACCTGTAGGAAATAGCTTTCTCTGTGACCAACTCCATGGCTACTCTGTGAAGTAAACAGCAGGATGTGCTTTAGTGTAGCAAGTGGCCCTTTCTCTCCTCCAGGACAGTTCATCACATTCCCACAATACAGTGAGCAATGCTTTTCCTCAGAAGTGAGAGGAGCAAGGTCACTATTGAACCAGCCTCTCGTATGATGCAGAGTACAGCTAGGCTGGTAAGACTCAATCCACCATACCACATTCTTCAAATTAGATGTGTGTGGCCAAATTTTCTGCTGGAGTAAATGAGTGCTGCTCCATTGAAGTCCATAGAGCAGCACTCGTTGACACCTGCAAAGAGTTTGGCCTGTAACATATAAATTATGCAAGAAAATATAGATAGGGTGACCAGATATCCCGATTTTATAGGGACAGTCCTGATTTTTGGGTCTTTTTCTTATATAGGCTCCTATTACCTCTCATCCCGATTTTTCACATTTGCTGTCTGGTCACCCTAAATATAGATTGACTAATTCATTATCACAGCCCTAATGCTTTTCCTTCAAGGTTGTCGATTAATCACAGTTAACTGATGCAATTAACTAAAAAAAAATCACGATGAATTGCACTGTTAAATAATAGAATACCAGTTGAAATTTATTTAAGATTTTTGGGTGTTTTTCTACATTTTCAAAAATATTGATTTCTATTACAACACAGAATACAAAGTGTACAGTGCTCACTTTATATTATTTTATTACAAATATTTGCACTGTAAAAATAAGAAATAGTATTTCTCATTCACCTCATACAAGTACTTCAGTGCAATCTCTTTATCATAGTGTGACTTACAAATGTAGATTTACTTTGTTATATAACTGCACTCCAAATCAATGTAAAACTTTAGAGCCCACAAGTCCACTCAGTCCTCCTCCTTGTTAAGACAAACAAGTTTGTTTACATTTACAGGAGATATTACTGACTGCTTCTTATTTACAATGTCACCTGAAAGTGAGACCAGGCATTCGCATGGCACTTTTGTAGCCAGCGTTGCAAGATATCTACGTGCCAGATGTGCTAAACATTCATATTCCCCTTCGTGCTTCAACCACCATTTTAGAGGACATGCTGATGATGCTTGTTAAAAAAATAATGCATCAATTAAATTTGTGACTGAACTCCTTGGGGGACAATTGTATGTCTCCTATTTTGTTTTACCTGCATTCTGCCATATATTTCATTTTATAGCAGCCTTGGATGATGACCCAACATGTTTGTTTTAAGAACACTTTCACTGCAGATTTGACAAAATGCAAAGAAGGTACCAATGTGAGATTTCTATGGCAAGATACAGCACTCGACGCAAGGTTTAAGAATCTGAAGTGCCTTCCAAAATCTGAGAGGGATGAGGTGTGGAGGATGTATTAAAAGAGCAACGCTCTGATGCGGAAACTACAGAATCCGAACCACCAAAAAAGAAAATCAACCTTCTGCTGGTGGCATCTGACTAAGATGATGAAAATGAACATGCATCGGTCTGCTTTGCTTTGATGGTTATTGAGCAGAACCTGTCATCAGCATGAATGCATGTCTTCTGGAATGGAGGTTAAAGCATGAAGGGACATATGAATCTTTAGCGCATCTGGCACATAAATATATCTTGCTATGCCGGCTACAACAGTGTCACGTGAATGCCTGTTCTCACTTTCAGGTGACGTTATAAACAAGACCTGGGCAGCATTATCTCCTGCAAATTGTAACCAAACTTCTTTGTCTGAGCGATTGGGTGAAGTAGGACTGAGTGGACTTGTAGGCTCTAAAGTTTTACATTATTTTATTTTTGAATTCAGTTATTTTTTGTACATAATTCTACATTTGTAAGTTCAACTTGCATGATAAAGAGATTGCACTACAGTACTTGTATTAGGTGAATTGATATATACTATTTCTTTGGTTTTTTTACAGTGCAAATATTTGTGATCAAATAAATATAAAGTGAGCACTGTATACTTTGTATTCTGTGTTGTAACTGAAATCAATATATTTGAACATGTAGAAAACATCCAAAAATGTTTAAATAAGTGCTATTCTATTATTGTTTAACAGTGCGATTAATTTTTTTAATCGCTTGACAGCCCTAAAAAGCATTTGTTCGTGCTTTCCAAATCATGATAATACTACTGGTTTTTACTTGTATGGCATAGATGTCATCTTATTTTGTATAAAATCACAAAAGTACTGTGGATTGCTCCAGAATTCTGAACACAGAACTATTATTCACCTCTACAAGACAATGTGACAATCTGTTATCACCTGTCCCTTTTTACACTAACGTTCTTACGTAGCCAAATACCAGTAATACTTCCATAGCACTGTATATCTTGCAAGAATTAGTTAATGCTTGTAAAGTGCTTTTAACACTCTTGTGAAGTAGGTAAGTATTAATCCCATTTTACAGATAGAGAAACGGAGATAAATCAGTTAAATAACTTGCCTAAAGTCGCACAGAAAATTTGGGGCAGAGTTGGTATTAGATATTGTGAGTTCCTGACTCTTAGGCCTCTAAAGTATGCCATCTTTAGACATGATATACAGTAGCTCAAGTAAAATATAGTTAATAAAAAATGCGAAACAAGAAAAATGTCACATTTACTCCATTACTAGAAAATCTTATTTGTGAGACGGCAAGAGAATAAAATTGCAGTCTTATAGTAAACTAAGATGTACAGCTGCTGTAGTCTTAGGATCCATTTTATAGTGGTCAAAACAAGAAACAAAGCCAAGAAGCAAGGTGCTATATTTCATTTTCAGAGTTTCTCTCAGAAACTGGTCACCTTGCAACAGGATCACAGTGCTAGAAATTCTGAAAAGTAAGTCTCCAACTAAATCACTGTTCTTGAGTATAGTATTCAGTATTATAGAGCTTTTAAAGTTTTCTGTTTAGTATCCAGTTTCTGAGCAACTGGTCTCCCACAAGTTGTTTCATTATATAACTAAGAAAAGAAAGGTAGTGTTTGTCCTTTCCCGAACAAAGCTGTGCTGGATATAATACTGCTAGAGCAAGCTCATCACAAACCAATTCAGATTTGAAAAAGAATAACATCCATGCTTAAACTACAATTATCAACCATGCTATTTGAGTTGTTTTTACCACCACTATCTATCATTTTCTTTCCTATCCCTTGCAGCAGATTCCATAACACATTAAGTCTAGTCAGAAAGCGGCCTGTTCGATTGTACATTAAATGTTATGAAGAGGGGTGTGTAATGGAGAGGAGGTTACTTAAGTATAATCAGCCTCTCATCTGTAATGAGGTGAGCTAGTCTCCTGAGTTTTTGGTTACAGTAAACTATCATTTGAATGGTAGTAATGTGAGGTGGTGCAGCCTTAACTACCTTAACAGTTGTGAAGTAGACTTCTCCAGCGTACTGATAGGCTACAAGGGTCTGTTCTTCCTGGTTCCGGGCCAGTCGGACAAACATCATCCAGTTACCAGTATCTTCATTGGGAGCATCCAGAAAGTACTTTCCGTCATCTTTCAATACCTGAAGAAAAAGGAGTGAGGGTATGGGAGAAGGCACGAGTTATAACAGAGCTGTGGAAAGGAACACACTAACCTGTTTTTTGTTGAATCTGAGTCAGGGACAATGCTTTTTATATATTTTTTTCATACAAAGATGTTTTTAAAAACAAAATAAGTGATTTTTAAATGAGCCAACTGGGGGGGGGGGGGAAAAAAGGTTAAGACTGTACAATTTCTGAGGGGCCCAGGCATAGAAGTAACCAGGTATTTGTTTGAAATCTGTAATTACAGGTTCTATTACTTGACAAATAATTTTAGAAAGATAATATTTTAAGGTTTAAGCGCAAGCAGACAGGGAGAAAGATAAGCTTTGAACTGTAATGCATTTCCAAAGTGCTTGATATCTCAATCTTAAATGCTGTACTGAAGTTTTGTTTTGCATGGAAAAATAATATAATTCACATAAGTCTAATGGGATAACATCCAGTATATTGCTATTTCAACATTCATCCCTCTTGACTGACCACATGCTGTATTCCCATAACAATAAGGAAGTCATACTAATGAATGACAATGCCTGGAAAGTCTCTCATTCTCTCAGCTTCACTTTATTCCTTTTAGTTGGAAAAAGAAAGGAATGTGTTGGGCAAGAGGCTTCAGATCTGCTGCCAGGATGTCACCCTTCAGTGACATACACTGAAAGATGGACTGTCTTGCTGTAGCGTTATGTCCACATCCAGTATGTTGATACTACATACACAGATATGCCATTTATCTGCTCCACTGGTCATTTGAAAGCTCTTGAGAGTTAAGAAGCAATTATGTGGAACACCCTGCCTTTCCATCGCCTTTGGGAGCTTTCCATCTAACACTGCCGTTGCTGATGAAAATACATTTCTGCTGCATAAATGCTGGTCTCAGTCACACTCAGGATTCTGGCAGACAGAAGACAAAACTCCTGCTGTTGTGCTAGAAGAAATTCAGGGTAAAGTCTTATGCCCTTCTCTCTATCTCGTGAGGTAACTCATCAGCCATTTAGAATATAAATCTTAAGATAATTAAGGGGATAGAGGGATTGACAGAGGAAGGGGCAGGGGGAATTGTGTAAAGCTTGGTTAAAAGACAGCTAAGAGGAGGAAACTAGCAAGTGTTTGATTCACTCATACTGGCATAGTTGTTATAAATTATACTCTCGGCCCCAGTACAGGTTGCTGTATCTGGAGCGGGGGCAGAGGTGGGCAGATGTTGTTTGCACTGTCAACCTCCCAAAGGGATTCCATCGGAGGACAGCTTTAACTTGCTGGCAGAGGTCTATAGGCAGCCTTTGCTAGTGGGGTTCCTACCGGGTGCATTGTATCAGCTATTGTTGGTCACTTTCAGGGCTGCACTGGTTGTCTATGGGCCTGTGGGGGTAGCAAATGTCCTATGCCAATGCAACCCTTCCCTAGGCAGATGGCTAGGCTAGCAGGGGATAGTGTAATCCAGAAGGGAATCAAGGCGAATAACTGTAACAAGTATTGTTAAAATTTAAACAAAGGTGTGCGTGATTAGGATGGTACATGAGGTATACCTAGATACAACTTTAAGATGCATATTATTTATTTGCATTGTGGAAGTGCCCAAAAGCTCTCATCATTGTGCTGGGCACTCTACAAACTCATAGGAAGACCTGGGTAAATAGCGTACAACCAAAATAGACAAGACAACAACAAATGATATGAGCAATGTGGCAAAGGTTGTGTGTCTTGTGGTTTACGTTCAAAAATATTTGCCCCCTTTTATCCTTGTTTTCCTCACTGAACAGGTGCTTTAACCAGTTGCTGTCACTATTGCTGACTCACCCACAGAAAAAGATTAATCTTTGGTGAGAGTGGGTTGTTTTTTTATATAAAGTCAAATGGTGCCTGGATTACTGGTTAGTGAAAATATAAAAGGACAGATTTTGCCAAAGCTCTGCTTGTTCTCTCCTACCTTCTGGAAAAATTTCCTAACAGCAATGACTGAGGAATAACACTCCCAAGGAACTAGTAGAAAACCCTGGCTATAGCCATTTTAAAAACAGATTGGACAAATTCTAGATTGGGCAAATACAAGCCAGCACCTCAGCATTACACTAGAGGATCAAATTGGTCTGCATCATATATTATGTTTGTATCAGATTATGCATCATTAGATCAGAATTGGAAAACCAGTTGTCCAATTAAAGTTACACTTACCTGAAAACCATGAAACTTTGGACATGACTGCATGTGCAGTATGAATACTCTTGCCTATGAAACTTGAATAGGAAAAAGAGAGATGCTTATGCCACTTAAAAAAGAAATAAATAAAAAATTGAAATATTACAAGCCCTCCTGCAATAGCTTGAAACCCAGCAAAGAAAATCCTCCAAAGCCCAGCTGAACCTCTGAGTTCATTACCTGTAGAACTAGCCTGTTGTCATCATAGTGGGTAAGTTTTGTAGATAGTTTCCCAACATAAGGACCAAACTGTGTTCTCTTCTGTATAACTTTCTTAGCAAACACTCCAAGGACTGTGAATAAAAATAAGACCAGTTTAAGAAGAATATGCACATCATGATCTAAATCCCAAATAGCTTCAACTGAGGGAAATGAACAAGTGTAAAATAGGATGCTCACATAGAATTCCTCTCCTAGACTCAGGCTGAGCAATAAATCAGGCACGTACCTCTAATGCGGGGGTTCTCAAACGGGGGGTCGTGACCCCTCGGGGATCACAAGGTTATTACAGGGGGGGCACTTGAGCTGTCAGCCTCCACCCCAAAACATCACTTTACCTCCAGCATTTTTAATAATATTTTTAATAAAAAAGTTTTGAATTTATAAAGGGGGTCACACTCAGAGGCTTTCTGTGAGAAAGGGGTCACCAATACAAAAGTTTGAGAACCACAGCTCTAATGGGTAAAATTTTCAAAGTCACTTTTTAAAATGGGACTTGGGTGGTTTTGAAAGTTTACCCAATGAGTCTAATTCATGATAAATTGCCAATTTTCCATATTAAACTGTGGGGCTAGAAGTATGGAACAGTCAGAATGACGTGAGTGTCAGCAGGGCTATTGTAAGCTGCTAAATATTCCTTCCCCACGGTTCTGCACCTTGGCATGTTTGCTGCAGAGGACAGCTTTGTCAATCAGTGTGTATAGCTAAGGAAGTACAAAGTAAGCTATCTTACATGTTCCATTATTCCCGCATATTAAGATTGATAGTACTGCACAGAAGACCTTCATATTCTGCAGTACTAGCTAGGCAGAATTAGAGTTATATATCATTGGGGAATATCTGTAAATTAGCAAGGAATTTCTAATTCCCCCTCTCTCTCCAAACTCCAACAAACTACCATGTTGCCTGAAAGAAACAATACAATCTTTCTACAATGCTGACTTCAGATTCTGAAAAGGTGAATTGTACTGAACCTTCATATGCCCTCTGAATTTTGTTTCTTTCATCTCTTTCCCCCTTTGCACGCCTATGTCACAATTAACTGAGGTACCTATAGAAAGGGCTACAATTTTGTCATGGAGGTCATAAATCATGAATTTGAATAAAATCCATGAAAACTTGGAAATGGTTGTAGAAATACATTTGATGAGGCCCCCAAACCAAGAGACATTATCACCAGGTGCACAGGATCACAGCACTGCTCAGGTTTGGCCTGTCTGCCCCTCCGTCTCCATCAGTGGCAGGTTCTGGGCCTTAATTTTCGGTTGAGCCCAGCTAAGATAGGCTGTTTAGAACTATTTGAACAAAATGCCACCTCTAAGTTACTTATGAAAACAAGCTGTGTTGGTACCTTTTCGTCGCTTCTTTCCCAAGCCATAGCTGAAAGAGCTCCGATACTTACTCTGTTGGTTCCCAGCTCGCAGCTCCAGCACTCGCAAAGTGAGGTAGTGAGGTAGGGTAAGGCGGGCTCGACTGGGAATAACCCTGTCTTTAACCCTGATGAGTGGTCCATGGAGTTTACATTCTCCTATAAGGCTTTTGCTGCAGTCCTCACACCCTATAAGCCAAGAAGAAAGTTCCCAATTACAAAAGTAATGTACTATCCCACTATTCCCAAGAAGTTGGGAATGAAAAGGAGACTGCAAAATAACACCTTATAGCACTGTTCATACTGCAAACTTAAACTGATACACTAGCTAAATACAGGGCCCACTTCACCCTCAAATGAAATGCAGCCACCTCAGGAGAGATGTACCACAAAACAATTTCTACATTTCCATGGACATAGAATTTGCCCAACAATTTTCTGCTGCCATGAAACTTGTCACATCTAACCCCTCCTTTAACTCTCAGCGTATGTCTACACTATAATAAAACACCCGTGGCTGGCCATGCCAGCTGACTCAGGTTCGGGCTTTGAGGTTATAAAATTGCAGTGTCAATGTTCAGGCTCAGGCTGGAGCCCAGGTTCTGGGACCACAAGCTGAAATCAGATGACAAGGTTGTTTTTTATTGCTGTGTAGACACACCTTCATATGCCAAAGCAGGGAAGGGAAAGCTTGCGAATCCGTGCAACACTTCCTCTACCTGATCTCGTGCAAAAGGAGCACAGGCCAGCACTGCTCCTAACCCAGTGGTCCCCAAACTTTTGAGGTCCATGCCCCCCACCGCCCCTGAGCCTGGGCCAGGAGTGGGGCCATGGCTTTGGGGGCAGAATGCGGACAGGGTTAAGGGGGCCCTGGCTGGGGCTGCAGCTGGAGGTGGATCTGGGGCCAGAGCCGCAGCCAGGGTTGTGGCTGGAGCCACAACTGGGCTGTGGTGGGGGCCAGCAATCCGGCCCTGTGGCCAGGTGTGGCTCCACTCCTGACCTTGACCCCAGCCTCACCCCCGGGTTGGGAATGGAGCCGCGGCTGACGCTAGGGACGGGGAGAGGCGCACATGAGGCCAGGAGCCAGGGATGCGGCTGGGGGCTGGAACGGATCAGAGCAGGGGGCAGGGTGGGGCTGTGTGGAGCTCCTTCCCCAACCCCATGGGGGCTTGCCCGGGCCCTACGGTGCCTCCCTGATGGTCCTTCGTGCCACACTTTGGGGATCTCTGTCCCAAGCTCTAAAGACTAATGCTGCAGGGTCCTATCTCATCACAAATACATTTTCTCTGCATTAGCAGCTGCATAGAAAAACTGGGAAAGAATTTCATCCATCCACTTACGTGCCCAACCTATGTGTGCATGTAAGGATTCTTCACCCTGCTGGCTCTTTCGGTCAAGACTAAGAAGAAAATGTGCTGCCTGCTGCATCACCAACAAATTGCCCTGAAGCACTTGGCTTCAGGACCCAGCCTGATCACTTGCTTGGCTTGATCGATCTTAGCACAAAATAGTTATACTGCATACTAACATAATACAGCTGCACGTCTCCCCCTGACCTCTCACAAAAAACATACATAAAAATGAGAACTAATTAAATCAAACTACTTTGGAAAATGTTGTGCTATTTTTGGATTTTTTATGTCTGTACCTTTATGGATATGATTGTTTCCCCTGTTTAGGGTGGCTTACTGCATAGTGTTGCTAGAATATTTTGGCATGTAATTCAAGAAAACATCCTTTTTTTTGGACTATAAAATTACAGTTAGACTAAAGTGGTTTAGAAAAGATTCTGGGGGTACTTTGGAACATATGTCCCTCAAAAGATTGGGTATTTTGAGTACTGAACCGCATTAGAAACAGGCAACTGCCATCAAAAAATCAAAGCAGATTAATCAAGACATTTATTTAGAGCAGTTTAGCACTTGTCTGCCTTTGTTTATGGTGTTTTCCAGAGAGACATAATGAAAAAGATAAATCTGTTATTCTAGAACATAAATACAGTTTGATGTGAAAAACAATTAGTTTCTCCAAGTGCTGAGATTTGTAAGTGAGGTCCATGTTTAATATTTTATACTAATGAGTGTAAATCAAATTTTCAGTGCAGCATGTAGCTGTTAAGCTCTAACTCATGTCAAGATCAGCAAGAAATGTGTGGCTGAAAGCCTGTGAACCACTTTAGAAATGGGCACTTAGTTAATACCATAGAAACAAGCTTTCTGCCACGGTCTCTAGAATTCAGGTGAGAACTATTCTTACAATGAATAAAACTGTCCTTTTTTAAGGAGCTACAAGAGGCACACGGATGAATGATCAAATCTGTATAAGGCCTGTGTTCTTATGCACCACAAGAGACTATTTTCACTCTCTTTTTTTCCCAGACAGCATTATCTTTAAAACAAATCCTGCTACATGAACCTTTCATTTCAGTCCATTTTAAAAGACTGATCAACCGTATTTAGGCAGTTATACTCAAACCTTAAACTTTTCAATTTTAAAATCACTTTGTTTACCAATATTTAATATAGTCCCTTTAAAGGGTATAGTTAACATTAAAGTGCTATAATATGTTGTTCAAGAAGATCAGGAAAACAAGCTATGACCTTTTGTTCAAATTTTCCAGATACTCACTTTCTATATGCATTACAAATCACCTATCAGTGTTATAAACAAACCAGTTCCAAGAGATTAGTTAAACTCTACACAAGTTTTTCTGATTTGGTTAACTTCCAACTTAACTATGCTGGTGGACTATGCAGCTGTGCTCAGTAGAGAATTCTGCATACCAACGGTGAAAGTACATTCCGAGATGGTGGGAAGGAATCAGAATATTTTAAGATGCTGAATTGTACAATAAAAATGAGCACTTGCATAGTTAAAAATTCCAGTGCATCTTGGCTATGTGTCAAAAGAGATTTTTAAATCCTATGCAGGTTCTGCCCAAATCTGAACTTCATTAATATTTGAGATTTTAGCTTTTTAAATTACAGCCTATTTCATTTCTTTAACACTTAGAATACTAGCTTTATCAGACTTCTGAGGAGGATGTGTCTATAATATATGCAGTATTAAATAAAAACTCCAAAGTAATTACATAATTTTGAAATCAATCAAATTCTGCCCTCTGGTAATTCCTACATAGTTCCTTTTCAAATCAAATGGAACCACACATGCCTTCAAAAGCAGAATCAGGCCCAATAACTAACTAAAATGGAAAGCTTAGGCCAAAATTCATATTTAAGCACCTAAATAAAAATGTCCTGACTTCTTTGAGGTTCTAAGTCCCCAAAACTCCAATTTATTTCAGTGGCAATTGTGGGAGTTCAATATCTCTGAAATTTACAGTATTGCCAATCCCAAGCATTCAAAAACTCATAAACCATGACTGGCTAAAAAAAATCATTAGACTTTAATAAATAACAGATTAGGATCTTTTTTAATTTCCATCATGATGTTTAAACTTTCAAGGTTCATGTTTTCCAGTTACTTTTGGCATTATTGAGGGCTAGAAACCTACTTTTGTTTTGTATTTTAAATGAAAGCTGAAATTCTCACATATTCAATTATTCCAAAAGCTGGAGCTACAGAAAAATTACCAAAAATCATGAGACTCATGATTAAAAATCACAAGTGTTATCAACAGTGAAATTAGGCCATTTTTATTCAGGTGCCCAAGTATGGACTTTGAGGCCTATCCTTGGACACTAGACTTGAAAATGATGGCCTAAAAAAAAAAAAAAAAAGATTTAAGTGACCTAACAATGAATTAGGAAGCCACTATTTGGACAACTAAATAACTGTAGTTGGGGGGGGGTAAGAAGTGGTAACTCAGCATGAGACAGGTTAAAAACTTTGAATGGATATTAAAGCACTGGGAAGGGGGAAAAAAAAACATAAACAAAACCAGATAAATAACTTAGTTTTACAACAACACTGAAAGCCTCTTCTTGCCTCTCTCACTTTCCTATGACAGGTTTCAGAGTAGCAGCCGTGTTAGTCTGTATCTGCAAAAAGAAAAGGAATACTTGTGGCACCTTAGAGACTAACAAATTTATTTGAGCATAAGTGTTTGTGAGCTACAGCTCACTTCATCGGATGTATGCAGTGGAAAATACAGTGGGGAGATTTATATACACAGAGAACATGAAACAATGGATGTTACCATACACACTGGGCCATTTCCAGCAGCTGACAAGAACGTGTGAGGAACAGTAGTGGGGGGAGGGGGGGGAAAATAAACATGGGGAAATAGTTTTACTTTGTGTAATGACACATCCACTCCCAGTCTTTATTCAAGCCTAAGTTAATTGTATCCAGTTTGCAAATTAATTCCAATTCAGCAGTCTCTCCTTGGAGTCTGTTTTTGAAATTTTTTTTGTTGAAGATTTGCCACTTTTAGGTCTGTAATCGAGTGACCAAAGAGATTGAAGTGTTCTCCGACTGGTTTTTGAATGTTATAATTCTTGACGTCTGATTTGTGTCCATTTATTCTTTTACGTAGAGACTGTCCAGTTTGACCAATGTACATGGCAGAGGGGTATTGCTGGCACATGGTGGCAGATATCACATTGGTAGATGTGCAGGTGAACGAGCCTCTGATAGTGTGGCTGATGTGATTAGGCCCTACGATGGTGTCCCCTGAATAGATATGTGGACATAGTTGGCAACGGGCTTTGTTGCAAGGATAGGTTCCTGAGTTAGTGGTTTTGTTGTGTGGTGTGTGGTTGCTGGTGAGTATTTGCTTCAGGTTGGGGGGCTGTCTGTAAGCAAGGACTAGCCTGTCTCCCAAGATCTGTGAGAGTGATCTACAACCTATCGTCCTTCAGGATAGGTTGTAGATCCTTGATGGTGCGCTGGAGAGGTTTTAATTGGGGGCTGAAGGTGATGGCTAGTGGTGTTCTGTTATTTTCTTTGTTGAGCCTGTCCTGTAATAGGTAACTTCTGGGTACTCTTCTGGCTCTGTCAATCTGTTTCCGATGAAGTGAGCTCATGAAAGCTTATGCTCAAATAAATTTGTTAATCTCTAAGGTGCCACAAGTACTCCTGTTCTTTTCACTTTCCTATGCTGCCCTTCCTGCATCTAAGAATGAGTCATCAGAGCAGTATTAAATAAAAACCGTGGCAAGTGTCTGTAAGTCTGTTTAAAACTCATCTTATTTAATAATTTACCTATGATAAGTAGTCACTGCCAT